CTCCGGTGGCGGGCGCGCAGGTCGTTGACGCGGGCCCCGGCTGGGAGGCGCGTCCGTCGCTGCGAGCGCGGCGTCGAGGTTCTCGGACCATGGAGGACCCGCAGCCGCTGCCACAGCCGGAGCTGCCGCTGTGTGACAGCCTCATCATCTGGGTGAGTGTGATCCGAGCTCGCCGGCGAGGCCCCCCGCGGGGCGGGCGGAGCGAGGGAACCTGCGCCTGCCACGTCCACCTGTTCCGCAGCCTGTCCGAGACCGGGCTCTCCACCCAGCCACAGCGCCCCATGGCGCACAGGTGGCTAGGAGACGCGGGCCACCTCGGTTCCCAGCTTGCTGTCCCTTTGGGCCCACACAGCACTCACGGTGTAGACACGGCTGCAGGGAGATGCGGGAGATCTTTTTCTTTTTCTTTTTTCTGTGCCTCCCCTTTCCTTCTTAATACCTTTTCTTTTTTAAAGTAAAAAAGATTTGGCATTTTTGTTTATTTGCGCTTGATCCATGTGCAGGATTCATTGGTGCAGACTCGATGGACGACTGGCTCTGTCCTCAGATGTCCAATGAGCAAAATGGTTTCTAACCTGCTGGAATTGCCTAGATATGACAGAACTGACTTCCAGGTGTGATTCCTAGCCCTTTATTGTGTTAGGGTAATCCTTGACGTCCCACAAACTACTGTTGATGACTCAAAGCTCACTCCAGTTGTGTAGTTTTGTGGAGGGCAGTCTGTCAGATTGGAATGTAAGTAGACTGGATCAGGAAGGAGGATTACATTCTCCAGGAGATTGGCTGGCTATCTCCTAACGTGAACAAATCCAAGGGACAAATGGGAAAGAGCTCTGAGCGTTTGAAATATGAAGTAACTTTTGCACTTTGGACTTTAATGACAAGTTTTAAGTAGAAGGCCAGTAGCTGGGATTTCAGGGTGTAAAGCATTTAGGTCTTCGTCAATCTGCGTAGTCATTTAAATTAGTATTTAGGTTTAGATAATCTGTTTAAGATTGTCAGGGAAGAAGGCAGTGTTACTTTAATGATCTGCTTTGTTTAAAAACAAATGGCTAATCATAGGGTATGTCCAGGTCTCCAATTTTGTGCTCTGGTCCTGACTGAAGAGGTTCTTTATGATATCACTGACTTCCCTGCCCGGCAGTGATGTACAAGATTTTCTTAAAACTCTACTGCAATATTTTTAAATGTTATGACCATATCCGTTCTTAAAGCAGTATTTATTAACTTCATACTTTGTGCTAGGCTCTTTGGAACCAGTTTAGAGCTGTGTGTAACAACAGTGGAAGGCAAAATTCCCCAAGATCTGAAAAACTATGAGCCAAATAAGGAATCACAGACAGGGTACTTGGTCGCCAGTCTCCAATGGGCTTGAGCAGTGCTCTCCCAGGCTGCTGTGTATTGCAGGAAATAGAATGACTGACAAATTGTTACTGTCTTGTGGTCACGCTATTGGCCAGATGTACGCTTCTTCTCAACACTGTAACAACAACCAGGTAGTGCTACTCCTTCTTAGGAAGCTCCATGCAGATACTACTTGGCTCTTAGCCGAGAGACTACCTCCTTATCTTTGGATCTAACTTTACAACCTGTTCCTTCTAACTCTTCTAGATCTTGTTTTATCATTTATTTTCCTTTGCTGCTTCTGCTGCCCATCCCCCAGTTGAATGAGGGGTCTCTGCAAGTGCTCTACCAATGTGACCAAATCCTCAACCTCCTTTTTACTTGAGACATAGTCTAAGATGCTCAGGTTAGCCTTGAACTCACTATGCTGACAAGTCTTTCTGAAGTTACCTAGTAGTTGACTGCTGGGCAACAGAACTCTTGCCTGATCTGCTTTGACTGTGACCCTAAAAGAAAGGATACTCACTAAGATCTCAATATATTGATTTCAAATAGAGTTGTCTTGGCTCTGCCCTTTAGGAATGGTATTCCACTATTAACTGGTATAGATTTCTTGTCTTGGATTTTTAGTTGCATCGTGGTTTAAAGAAGAAGAAAACATAGGGAATGAGCCCCCAAACCAGAGAAGAGTCATTAGTTGTAACTAATACACATGAACTCTTTTGTCTGTAGCCTGAGGGGAAGTAAGTAGTAGAAAACATACATTTGTCAGATTGTCTTTAGCCAGGAAGGTGTTCCCGAATATGCAAGTAATTTTGTGTTTGAGAAGAACTAGCACGGTTGATAAGATTGAAGGAAAAGCAAGTTGCAGTGGGGCCAAGGCGTGCAGGTGAGCAGATAGATGGCTGGGAGAAGCGTGACATTTCACAGCAGGACTAGGCCCTACCTGAAGCAGAAGAATCGAGAGAAGCTGGCTAGGTGAGGATTGTCTCTTTTGGTAACTCTCTAAGTATAGCTTTTATGATTTGAATGTTTCTTTTAAGTAGTTCTTGAAATGTACTGCTACTTAGAAAACACAAAGTCAGAGGGGAAAATAGAATAATTTACATAACAGGGAATGTATGTGTAAAGTTTGAAGAAATGTTTTCAGGTTTCATTCTGGTTTGTGTTGTGAGGTCGTTTTTACTTTTTATTACTTTTGTATTCAACTTTCACGAATAGCTAAGAGTATTGGGTCAGATTATTTTAATAATTCCTTTTAAAATTTTGCTATAACTTTAAGAGGTAAAAGAGAGTAAAAGCAAATATATGTGAAATCTTAGAAAATTACTGATCAAATTATATTTTGAGATTTTATTTTTTTTATATGTATGAGTATTTCTGTGTCTTCGTGCACACATGTGTGGATATGTGTGTACACTACATGCATGCCTAGTGCCCAAGGGGGGCAGAAATGGACATTGTATTCTCTCAGATGAGTTAAAAAGATGGTTGTGAACTGACGTTTGGATGATGGGAATTGAACCCTATTCTTATAGAAGAGCAGCCAAGGCTCCTAACACTGAACCATCTTGCCAGTCTCATTTAAAACAAATTTGTTCTTGGTTATAAAGCCTTTCAGTTTACCCAAGTGAAATTACGTTGTTATGTTCTTTCATTTGCAGTTAGGAGAAGTTGATATTGACTTAAACATAGTGCAAGGAGGCAACTCCATGACCTAGATACACCTTGTATGTATGGCCACATTGCTTTTTCAAGCGTCTAAAATTATGTTCAGTTATTGCACATGTAAAGATCGGGCAACTTGAGGAAGCTTCTTCTCATGTGAGTTGCAGGAATTGAATTCATGTCAAGGTTGGTAGCAGGTGATTTTTACTGCTGAGCCGTCTCACTGACTCCTATCAGGATTGCGCTGTCTGATATTCTGAAAATGATCTTTTAAAGCCATTCATCATTTCCATTTTATAAAACATTGATGATATATCTTTAAGTTAATATGAAAAGTTAGCATGTAAATAGAAATGTTGGCAAATGGCAGCTGCAATGTTTTCCTTTTAAAGATATTAGAATTTCTCTTCCCTGCATATCCACCCAGTTGCAAAATTCTTGTTGCACATCTCATAGAATCCATTCCTCCTGCATTCGGAATTCACATTATATGTGTCTTGGTGCTGCCCATTTTATGAACAGGATGGTTGCAGGAATCTCCTAACTCATCTCATGTTCACAAGCACGTAAGATATTCTGTATCTCTATTGCATCTGTCTTACCACTTCTTTGTGATTCCTTATTTCTCTGAAGCCAACATGTAGACGGACTGCTGTGGACTTTCTGACTTAATGGATCATGTATTATCCCCGTATTACTACACTTCAGGAAAACTTAACTTGTCTAGATTGTGTTCCTAGCCGTTGAGGCACAGAACCTTGTGCAGACGCTGATGTAATTATGTTCCCTCCTTCACTCAGTTTTCTCAGCCGTCTACTGTGGCGGAAACTTTCCAGTTGTTTCCCATTACATAGATGGTTGTTCTAAGGATAAAATGTCGTTCTGGCTCCTGTCTGTCTCTTTAGTCCCCTTGGTTGACATTCTTTGCCCGTCCTCCTTAAATGATACTAGAATGCGTATTCCTTAAGAAATGGCATTTTTCACTTGAATGTGTATGATAAAAATACTCATTTTCTGAAGCTTCCATCCTCTGGCCCTTGATTTCAAAGTTTTGCTGTTTAACCCTCAAGCCCTCAGGATCTTTTTACAAGGTGTTTCTAAATTATGAATTTTAAATGAATTGTCTCTTTTTTCTTTATTCAATAATAGTTTGTGTATACTGTAATTATGAACTAATCATGTCTCAACATGACATGTGCCTTTCACTTTCTTATAATTGTTAGTGATAGAATGCAGTGATTTTCCCTTGTAATTTCTTCTCATACCACAGTGCACCACATTGAGTAGGAGCTCAAGAAGACATCTCCACGGGGTTTCAGAGTAGTCATAGCTGGCTTTAGCCTTCCCATCCATCTCTCCTTTGTATTAGAAAAAATGGGGACAGCTTTGTTGAATCTCAGAATGCCCAACATCGTAGTGAGTTATGCTGGAATGGAATTCTGTGGACTTTGATAGTTAATTGGTGATCCTGAGGCTAGTAAGTGAATAGTGAAGGGAATGAATAATGTACGGGAAAGGAAATCATAATACCTTTAAGTATGGGTAGAGATTCAATTTCTATATATTTATATGATCCATTTTAACTGTTACATTGCTTTATAATTTTTTTCCTATTTTGTATTTGCTGCTTTGAAAAGGATGCCAGTATTCTTAAAGTACACATTAAACATTAAAAATTACATTAGCTTGTTTTTTATTGTGTTTGTGTAATTGTTTGCACGCCTGGAGTGTAGAGGTGAGAGAACAGCTTGCAGGAGTTGGTTCTCTCCTTTCACGAGAGTTCTGGAGAGTGCACACAGGCCATCAGTCTTAGCAGCAGTGTATCTTGTTAGTCTCATAAACATTTTCAAAATCAAGATTAAATGTTAGTAATAGCGGAAGCCATTCTAGATTGGAACAGCTCAGCTGCTGTCTCTGTGGCTGATTGTTGGATAGTCCCGGTTTCTTTCGGAGCTCATGTGTATGGTTTTAAGTAGTTTTAGATCTAACAGTTTTAGCTTTTATTTTCCTATCAAGTAACCAATGACATTTTAACTAGTAATTGCTCAGTTATCTTGATGTTCTCCTTACAGTAGATACATCTGAGAATTTGCATTATTCAGAAGTGCTTAATAATTCATACATAGCACCAGGTTCAATTAGACTTGATATTATGTAAAAATGTGTTTTTTATAAAAATTTTACACAGCTATAGAAATACTGTCTTCCATTTTAGTTGCTATTTCTTTATTTTGTATTGTAGGGATAGTCCAACAGTATGGTGATTTGTTGTGTCATTTTAGCTGCAGACATTCAAGACTGCCTCGCCCTGTCAGGATGTCAAACAGCTGACTAACGGAGTGACCATGGCACAAGTTCTTCATCAAATGTGAGTAGTGAGCAAAGACCTCATAGGTACTTCTTGATTTGAGGATGCCATCATTGCTTGATGAAGGAGTGTGTGTCTCCCTGCTTTCATTGTAATACTTTTTTGCTGATAGGAATAAAAGATAATGATTTATTTACATAATAGTACTATGTTGCTGCTTCAACTGCTGGACTGCTAGGGTTGTAGACATGGGGTACTATACCTTGCCACAAAGACATCATTTCTGTTTGTGTTGATGGCTTTATGCTATAGGGTCTTTCCTTAGTGTGTTGTGTGTGACTCTTGGATCTCCCAGATTTGCGGGCACTGTTTGGAGTAGCACCAGGTGCACTTTGTCTAAATGATAGCACATGTCTTCTCAACTTCTTTTCCGCGGTCAGATTTTACTCTCTGTCTCTGTCTCTCTCTGTGTCTCTGTCTCTGCCTCTCTCTGTGTATATGTGTTATTATCTTCTGATAGCCTTTGTTTTTCAGGGAAATCAAATGGGTTAGTTAAGAAGAAAGATTTCTTCATTAAGCAAATGACCAGTGGCCTAAAATAGGTCCAAGCCAGTCTGTCTCCTTGTCCCCCTGACATCCCACTTTTGTTTCATTTGCCCATTTTATTATAGTCTTTGATATTTTAACCTTTTTATCATCTAAGGAACTTCTGTGTTGTTTTTTAACCCTTTTCTAGAAGTCTGTATGTAGACTAGCAAGACTTCCAAGGATACATTTTTGCTTATTTTGATAAAAGTTTCATAATCCTAATAAAAAGACTAATTTCATATGTATATAATTTATTGTTTGCTGAGACAGGTTTTTTGTGTAGACTTTTGGAGCCTGTCCCGGAACTCACTTTGCAGACCAGGCTGGCCGCGAACTCACCTGTCTCTGCCTCCCAAATGCTGGGATTAAGGGTGTGCCCGGCATGTTTCTTTGACTGTTTCAAAGTACTATAATGGTAACATTTATAATTAATTTTACTGGTGATTCATATCAAATCACATGAAAGTTGTTAATAAAGTTGAGAAGATAAATTCTGCTTTTTAAAGAAAAGGCAACCTTTCAGATAATCATTTTTACTTATCTGAGGCAGGTATGCGTTTATAGAATTAGATCTTAAACATTGTCTAAGCTGTAACTTTAGCCATGAGGAACCACAGACTTAGTGATGGCTTCTGTAGGTCCTTATCTTTAGTTTGGATATGTAATATGCAGTTGTGGGGAGAGGCTGTGGGCTGAGGGAAAGTGTACCTACGACTGTGTTGGTTTTCCAGGGCTGCTCTAACAGTGCCACGGACTGTGTGGCTTAACACAACAAAATTTTATTCTCTTGTAGTTCCTATAATTAGAAGTCTAAATCAAGCTCTTGGGCGGGCTGTCCTCACTCCAAAACTTCAACGAGAGAGCTTCCTTGCCTGTTCTAGCTTCTGGTTGTCCTGGGCATTTCTAGGGCAACTGTGCCTCTGCTTAGCTTCCCTTTGTTTGCAGCTCTATCTGTTGCAATTTTTTTTATTTTTAATTTATTTGTTTTTCTTTATAAAAAAGAAAACTATCTTTTTTTCATTTTACATATCAATCCCAGTTCCCTGTCCCTCCCCACCTCCCATCCTCTCCACCTATTCCTACACCCCACCTCCCATCCATTCCTCAGAGAGGGTAAGGCACATTGCTCTAGGGAAGGTCCAGTGCCCTCCCAGCTATATCTAGCTTGAGCAAAGTGTCCTCCCAAACATTGGAGTACTACTCAGCAGTAAAAAAGCAATGACATCTTGACATTTGCATGCAAATGGATGGAACTAGAAAAAATCCATCCTGAGTGAGGTAACCTGGACCCAGAAAGATGAACATGGTATGTACTCACTCATAAAGTGGATACTAGCTGTAAAGCAAAGGATATTGAGCCTATAGTTCATAATCCTAGAGAAGCTACGTAACAAGGTGAACTCTAAGAAAAATATACATAGATCCACTTGGAAAGGGGAAATAGGCAAGATCACCTGACAAAATTGGGAGCTTGGGGATGAGGGAAGAAGGGAGGGTGAAAAGGGGAAGAGGAGGGAAGAAGGGGAGGGGTAAGGAGAACTTGAGGGAATGGGATAGATGAGATGGAGGAAGGACAGAGATGAGAGCAAGGAAAGAGATATTTTCATTGAGGGAGCCTTTATGGGGTTAGCAAGAAACCTGGCTGTTAGAATTTCCCAGGAACCCACAGGATGACCCCAGCTAAGACCCTAAACAATAGAGGAGAGGTGGTCCGATTTTGACTTGCCCTGTAGTCAAACTGATGAGTATCTTAAATGTCACCCACCCATAGAACCTTCATTCAGCAACTGATGGAAATAGGAGCAGAGACCCACAGCAAAGCACTGGGCTGAGCTCCCTAAGTCTTGTTGAAGAGTGGGAGGAGTGAGAATGTGAGCAAAGAGGTCAAGACCATGATGGGGACACCCACTGAAACAGTTTACCTGAGCTACTGGGAGCTCACCAACTCCGGCCAAATAGGGAAGGAACCAGCATAGATGCAAACTATAGTCCCTCTGAATGTGGGTGACACTTGTAGGGCTGGGGCAGACTGCGGTTCACTGGCAGTCACACCAGGACTTTTCCGTACTGCTTGTACTGGCTTTTAGGGAACCTATTCTATCTGTTCTATTTTAAGGGCACTAGTCTTATGGACCCATTCTAAGTTAATAAGATCTCTTCCTACTTTGATTGATACTGTGAAGACCTTATTTCCAAATAAGGTCATATTTTTAGGTACAAAGTTAAAACTTAAGTACGTCTTTTTGGAAAATGTGATTCTATATACTGCTACCAAGAATGAATCCACTTACCCCCTTTGTCAGTTGACCAGCCATGTAATATATGTGTTTTATTGTCTTTAACTGGATGACTTTTGCAAAGAGTAATGTGGTACAAAATTAAAATATTCAGGCTTAAATCATTTTTTATTGTTCAGGTATTTGAGCAGTTAAATGATAAACCATGATAGCCAACATCTGAGTATTTACTAAATATATCATTATAGGTTCCATTATATGGGTTATTTGTGTGTGTGCAGTCTGTGCTTGTGCAATTATCTGTTGTGTGCTTGTGGAACCCAGAGGTTGATGTTGAGTATTTTCCTTTATCATTCTCAACCTTATTTTTGAAATAGGCTAGTCTCTGATCTGGAACTCACCATTTTGGCTATCCTGGTTGGCAGTGAGCTCCTGGGGTCCACGTCTCTTTGCCCCCTCTTCATACCCAGCGCTGGGGTTGTAGTCATGTGCTGCTGCACGCAACTTTCCCATGGGTGCTGCAGATCTGACTCAAGCACGTGCACTTATGCACTGAGCTGTCTTCCCAGCCCTCATTTAAGTTTTTTATTTATAAGCTATATATTTAGTATTTTTATGTCCAATTTATCCATGAGTACCAAGGGTGTAGGAAGCTACTTTTAGAAGTGAAATAATTGTAAGGCTGGGATTTGTATTAGTTTAGTCTGACTCCAAGGCCAGTGTTTTTATTCACAGTAACAGTAGAAATCTAGTACCTCAAGTCTCTGTGATAGAATCTTATTCAACAATAGTCTTGGGGCATCAATAGAAGACAATAAAATTTTTATTAGAAAATAGAAATACAATTATTCCTTTAAGTTATCTGCTAAAATTCTTGAAGATGCATCCTGGATGGAATTAAACATATTGTGATGATTTTTTGCATAGTTTTCATTAGAAAATAATTGGATTGTATTTTTCTTCATTAGCTCCGTTCCTCCTTTTGATGTTCCTTTAGTTTCAAGTTCAAGTTCTGATAAGTGTATAAAAGAAAACAAAAACTATCAAATCATATAGATAATGTGCCAGTGTGAAAAAGTATAAAATGTGTGAGGTTGAACATCAGGTTTGACTAGTGGGAAGATTAGCTCAATGTTAATGGTTACCAAAAAGTGAATTTGCTTGTAAGAAGGCAATTGCTAGGTAGGTTGTTATGGAGAAAGAAAAATTTAGTGGCTTCATTTAAATTACTGCTAATCTCACTAAGGATAGATTTCAAACTATGAATCTTTCATACCATGGTTCAGTTTTGTTTTTCATGTTACAAAAACATTTTAAAGTTTAGCTTTTATATTTTTGTTTTAGTGACGTAGCCTGGTTCAACGAATCTTGGTTAAGCCGAATTAAAGATGATGTTGGAGACAACTGGAGAATAAAGGTACACATAAATGAATGGGTGGGTCACACGGTGCAAGCAGAGCTCCTAACAGTGATTCTGAACTCAATTGATTTTTTAAAAATTAATTCATGAGTGCATGTTTTCAGTTTGAGTTAACACATATTGAGCTGATCTGTTTGTATCAACTTAACCCAAAGTAGAGTTAGTTACCTTGAAAGACAGTCGAAAAGGAAATGCCTCCATCAAATTGACCTGTATGCCTGTCTGGTTGTCGTTTTCTTGATTGATGTGGGAGGACCCAGCCCACTGTGGGCAGTGCCACCCCTGGACAGGTGGATGTGGAGGTTAAGAAAGCAGGCTGAAGGGTGTGAACCTGAGATCTAGTTCTTAAGCAGCTATCTTCCAAGGTTTCTGCCTCTCCTGCTGCTTGAGTTCTTGCCCTGATTTCTCTCATGATTGATTGTGGTCAGGATTTGTAAACTCAATAAATCCTTTCATTCCCTAGCTTGCTTTTGGCCATTGTGTAATAATAAAGTAACTAGGACACCTGAGTTTACTCATAGATAAATATCATTTTATAGTTGCATAGCTTTTCTTCCATCCAAGAACATTGGTCTCTTTTCAGTTAACCCTCACCCAGTGACTGGCTTCTGATGGCTGTTGTCTGCTTTGAGTCCCTTGAGTTCTCGTTTCTAGAATTCTATATAAATGCACCAAACTGTGCACTGTGAGTGTCTTCTGTAGACTTCATTCACTCAGTATAATGATTTTGAGATTCATCTGTGTATACTACATTGATATGCCATTTTTATTTAACTGTTCATCTGGTGGGATAGTTGAATTATTTCTGGTTTAGGCTATAGCAGTGAATCTTTACTTAGACTTTAGGATATACATGAATCTTTACTTAGACTTAATTTCATTGGGGGGAAATTTCTTGGTGGAATTGCTGAAGTGTGTGTGTGTATATTTAACATTATCTGCAAATGATTTTATATTTTTAAATCCCTTTTACTTCTCTTGGATTTCTTGGGACTTGGTGGCCTGTGTTTGTTTCATAAAAGATGTCTAATTTGTGTCATAAAGTTTTTTAACAATACTAGTATTGTAATAGTATGCTAATGAATAATTATATATATTTAAAAATTGTTTATTATTCTGCATGTATGTGCATGAGTACCATGTGCATGCTTTGAGTATGCAGAGGCAATAGGAGAGCATCAAACCCCTTGGAACTGGAGTTATAACCAGTTGTAACCAGTCATGTGGATGCGGGAATTGAATCTGGGTCCTCTGGAAGATTTTTGTATTTTCCCCTTAGTAACATCTAACTTATTTTTCAGTTTTATATTTTAAAATTATTTATTGCATTGATTTCCTCATTTACTTCTCCTTTTGCTGTTTTTTATCCTGCTTCTTTATCCTTGAAGAGGCTTAAATAATAAATGTTAGGCCTATTTTTGTACTAATATAAAAAACACCGCCTTATATTCAATGCATTATGAGTATTTTATTATCATTGTGCATATGTTGTGTGTGTGGAGCGTGCACATGCTCCATCATGTGTGTGTAGGTCAGAGAACAAGTCTGTGAACTCTAATCTCCCTTCCCCTTGCTTTCTTATCTGTCTTACGTCTTAGTGAGTGCTCCAAGGGCACCTGACAGCACTGTACATCCTCATTTATTCTCCAGACGTGTTTCGTGCCACATGTGTTAATAGTGCAGTGTGTATCTTGTGTTTAATTTTCCCATAACTTACATAGGGAGGCATCCTTAAGTCTCCGTTGATGATAATTATTTTTCTTTTCAGTTCTGATAATAATAAATTCAGTTCTTATCAGTTATGATAGTTTTATTTCATATGAGTATTTTTAATTTTCTTGCTAGGTTTTCTGCCTTCGTGAAGAATTTGATAATGTTTTATTTTTATTGGGAAAGTGATTGTCTCTCACCTTTGTGTATGTCCCTCATTATTAACATGAAAAAAAACATTTATTTCTTCTTTTTGTTCTGTTTTAGGCTAGTAACTTAAAGAAGGTCCTCCATGGAATTACAAGTTATTATCACGAGGTACAAGAAATACCTGATTTTAAACAAAAATTCCAGTTGCTTGACTTCTTGTTTATAGCTTGTATTGGAATGAAATTCATAATTATAATTATATTGCCATTTTTAATGCTCTCAGAATTTTTGTGAAAATGGTGATGTTTAAAGCTTAAATACATTGGATTTCCAAAAGAGAAATAAAATTTCATTTTAATACTCTAAATTATTTTTACAAATATAGTTTGTTGTCTAATAATTGGTGGCCTTTGAACTGATTTTCTTAGTTAAAAATTTTTCTTTTATTTTTTAATGGAACAGAAATAAACTTGAAAGTTTGTTGGAAAAGTTTTAATACTAATATGAGAATTTTCTGTGTGCTCTACACATCTAGAATCCTTAAAACTTTTTAATAAGCTTCAAGATAATAAGGAAGGGGAAGAAAAAAATCAAATCCATTGGATTTGTTTTTCATTTGTAATAGTGTGGCAGTTGATGTTGTGACTCTAAGCCGATATTCTTGAGACAGTCTGACTTCTTCATTGTGTAAATAACTTTGCCTTTCTTAATAATAATACCTTTCTATTTTGAGCTAGCATAGTCCTATTTACTGCTTACAGGGAAAGCATTTTTGTTAGAGTAAGATAGCCTAGGTTCTTCTTAACAAATTCTTGTTTTTCTGATAGTAAAAGCAAGTAAAAGCAAATACAATTGACTCTGAATATTCAGAAGGTGCCAGAATATTGCTAACTTGGTTTTAGTCAATAACACTGACTTGTGATTTCTTAATTTGTTTATTTCATAAACTTATTTTAATTTTTCTTTAAATAGTAATGGAAATTTTCTGTAGCCTACTTAACTCAGTGATCTAATATATCATTTGATTCTTCAGTTTTTGGGGCAGCAGATTTCTGAGGAACTTATTCCCGATTTAAACCAAATAACTGAGTGTTCAGATCCTGTCGAGCTTGGGAGGTTGCTTCAGCTTATTCTAGGTTGTGCAGTCAACTGTGAAAGGAAGCAAGGTAAGTGAGTTTTAGACATTTGAGGTTCCCATTTTCTAGAAACATTCTACTTTGCTAGTTCTTAGTGCTGACATTCACAGGAAGGGGTTGTCTTCCTGCTGTTGAGTGCCTGAACTCACCTTGCACTAACTTGATCTAAATTGTAGACCTCCCTGTCATCTGTCATGTTGCAGCTCTTAAGTGTCCTGTGTTCTGGTGCTCAGGGGCCAAATTAAGTCTATTTAGTTCATTGATACCTGGTTTTTAGTACACCAGGTAGAATTTTAGGTTCATTTAATTTTTATGATAAAATATTAAGCTAATAAATTATAACCCAGACTTACTCAAATAATACCTGCTGTGTTTAGAAGAAACCTGTCCACTGTTTTCTTCTGAGAAGTGGAATAGTTCACATGTTAATGGAACCCATGCATTACACTAGAATATGTATGCATAGCAATCTGTGTGCTGCTGAGGGTGAGATGTCACAAAGCTGAGTAGAGTGAGTCTCCTTCCCTGTGGGTGCTTGTCCATCTTGTATCTCTTGTCCATCTTGTGTCTCTTGTCCATCTTGTGTACCTTGTCCATCTTGTGTACCTTGTCCATCTTTTGTACCTAGTCCATCTTGTGTGTCTCGTCCATCTTGTGTGTCTCACACATCTTGTGTCTCTTGTCCATCTTGTATCTCTTGTCCATCTTGCGTCTCTTGTCCATCTTGTGTACCTTGTCCATCTTGTGTACCTTGTCCATCTTGGGTACCTTGTCCATCTTGGGTACCTTGTCCATCTTGGATGGGAAGAGCTTTGCCAGAGCCTAGTCTTAGTATACTGCCTTCATAAAGACTTCTTCAAGAAAGGGTAAAGGATGGATAAATTCAGTAAGTCCAAGCTCAAGAACTATAAAATAAAATGAAATCAATTGTAGTTTATAAAGTACACACACACTCACATACCATAAAACTTTCTTATTCCAGTGTCTGCATTTAGTAGCTACCTTTTCAGAGGGCAAACAACTACTTTTTCTATAGTTAGTGCCGGGGGCATTAAAGATCTCTATGTTGTGTTTTGTTTGTTGTTTGTTTGTTTTGTGAAAATTAAATTTTTACACATATAGGTTAAAATGTCTCTGGCTACTCACAGTTTGACAAGGAATACTTCAGATTTAAATATAGTACTTTTTGTTACAGTTTGACTCTTTTTATTCCTTGATTAATACTTTTCTTCTATTTTGGTTTCTGGCTATTTGTAGCATTTTTTTGCCTAATTTAATATTTTGTTTCCAAAATTTCAGACATAATTCATTTTCAGAAAAGTAACATTTGGCTTTGATTCTATTTCATTTAAGTATTATTTATTTTTTCTAGTATTGCATTCTTCCATTTTCTTGTAAATTCATCTTTTATTATAAGCCATGGTTGGCAGTCTAAGCTACAGTTTTCCCTGGTGTTGATGATTTTGTTGCATCCTGCAAACTTTGTATGCTGTCTTTGTCATAATTTAGGCCTAAGCATCACTAGATATTCTTGTCTTCATAGTTTTGAAAGGAAATTCAGTTCCTGAAGATACAAGTGAAAGTTTACTAAGCAGTCCATATAAGGAAACAGTTTTACTTTCAGAGTATGTGTCTGGTTTAACAATTAGGTTTGAATAGTTAAATAAAACCTGCTAGTGGGCTGAGGGTATGGCCTAGTAGTATAGCGCTCATCTGTCATGCAGAGCCCTGGATTCTATCCTCAGGGCTGTAGAAGGAATGGAAATAGGAAATGCAAAAACAAAGAATACAAGAAATGAGCCCCCTAAATTTGATGATATCAAGCAGCTTCTGTGCTTTTGTGGTTTGAAGTGACAATTGGCTTGATTATTAACAATGACCTTCTCAAACAGAAAGGTTTTTAAACATAATTTCTTGATTTTTTTTTTAATTTTACTTCATGCACCTTAATCCTGCTCACCTCTTAGGCCCCCCATATTGTCCCTCACTTTTGCAGCACCTCTTCAAAAGAAAGTTTTAAAAAAAGCAATCAAAAACAAGAATGAAACAGACCTCATTGATTCTCCATCTTTCCCGCTTCTCTAGCACCTCTTCATTTGTCCTGGTGGCATTGGGAGCGCTGTGTCTCATAGTTTATGTACCCTTTTGTCCAATCTGCTTTACTAGCAAATGTTCATTGAAATGAGTCACTGGTCTGGTGCAAGGCCTCTTGTATCTGGTGCACCATCATCACTGGATCCTCACCAAAACTCTGGGACATCCCATGTCTGCTCCCAGACCTGGAGATCCTGTCGGTGTAGTTCCATAGGACCAGTCTCTTCATGAGCTCCATCAGATGGAGTAGATGTTAGGGTGGGCCAACCTAAGACCCAGATGTAGGTCTGGATGGTAGCTGAGCTGGTCAGTTCAGGCCACTGGAGCCACCCACCTGAGGTGAGAGGGCGAAGCCAGATTCCCTATACCCGTGCCATCAGAATCAGTTTTCCCTTACCTGTGGTGAGAAGTGGGGCCATCTCTCTCAGTGCAGGGGCCAGCTCCCTTGCTACAGTGTCCAGAGAGAGAAAGGCAGGGCCAGTGAAGGGCAGGACTGGCTCAACTTGGCTCTTTGGTTTCATCATGCATGGCCCTATGGCCCCCTGAGGTGACACAGGCCGCAGACATGGCCCTCAGCAGCAACTCAGGCCTGGACAACATCTTTGTAGAAGCATTGGCCACACAGATCAGAATACTCACATCAGGATGGCTCTGGTGGTGGCATGGCCCCCAGACACCAACAAGGCCATAGTTTGCAGCCCAAACTCTGGGATTCTATGCGACTGTAGTGGCAACACTGACCTCAGACTTCAACACAGACCCCTACCGTGGTAGGACCACCAACCCAGACATGGTCCTTGGCAGCAGCCAGGTCTGGATGTCACTGTTGCTCCAGGTGGTAGTGTAGGCCACTCAGATTGTCACAGCCCCAGTGGAAGCATGGCCCTCAGGCACCAGAATGGCCCCCAGACCTCAGGCTTCCACGTGGCCTTCAATGGTAATAACCATGGACATCAGCAGCAGCACAGGCCGCTCAAATCTGTATGACCCTGGCTTCAGCATGGCCCTTGGACAGCAGCATGACCTGGACATCCACGCAATCCTCAGTGGCAATAGAAGCCATGAATGTCATCCCAGACCCTGGCTGCTGTAGGCCCAGGGATCAGACATGGTTCTTGGCAGCAGCTCCTGGTGGCAGCACAGGCCACCCAGATCTATATTGTTCCAGCTGCAGCATGGCCCCAGAATCCAACAAGATCACAGGATGCAGCCCAGATCTCAGGCCTCTGTGTGTGTCCTAGTGGCAACATGGGTCATGGCTGTGGTAGGACCACGAACCCAGACATGGTCCTTAGCAGTAGCCCTGGTCTGGATATCAACATGGCCCCCATGGCTGCATAGCCCTTGGACACGAACACAGTCCAGACCTCTGGAATTACATGGCCCTTGATGACATCAGGAGCCGTGGACATTAACACAGACCTGATTGCAGTACAGACATGGCCCCCAGCTGCAGCCTTGGCCTGGAAGTCACCATGGCACTGGGTAATAGTATGTACCACACAGATCTGTGTGACCCAGCTGCAGCATGACCCTTGTGCACCATCATGGTCCCAGTTGGCTGATCAGACCCCGAGTAACCACATGGCCTTTGGTTGCAATAAGAGCCACAAATGTTGACTCAGACCCTGATTACTATAGTGCCGTGGACCCAGACATTGCCTTTGGCAGCTGCCTGGACCTGGACATACCAGGGCTCTGGGGTCGCAGTATAGGTCACCCAGGCCAGTATGACTCCATTTGTGGCACAGCCTTCAGACAACAACAAGGCCACAGGTTGCAGCCCAGACCCGAGGCTTGTGTGTGGCCTTTGGTGGCAAAATGGGCCACAGATGTTAATACAGACCCTGACTGCTGTAGGGACCAAGACATGGCCCTTGTAGGTAGCACAGGCCAACCAGATCAGTGTGATTCCTGCAGTGGCCATTGGACACCTACATGGCCATTGGTGGCAGCCTAGACACTGGACATTTGGTGGTAACATGGGCCACAAATGTCCATATAGACCCTAACCTGTGGTGGGACCACAGACCCAGATATGGCCCTTGACAGCTGGCTGGGCCTGGACATCACCATAACCCTGGGTGGCAAGCAGGTCTCCCACATTAGCCTACTCCTCACTGCCTTCATTTCTTCTGTTCCACCTCTTTCCCCATCACATGAACTATTCCACTTCTTTTCTCTCATTTCTCCACCACATATTTACTCAGCATAATGGGTTCTACCTGCCTGGTGCTGCAGGCAGGATGTCTTCCTGCCGCATTAAGGGCCCAGCCTGGCCTGGAGGTAGCTAGCACCCTCCTGAGCACAATTGCATCAAGGGGCTGTGGACTTAACGAAAATTATTTTTTTGTAGATTTCAGCAAACTTGAAACATTCCACCTTCCAGAACATTAAAGGAAACCATTATGTCTTTGGTACATTCTTTAGTTAATTCTTTTTCTCCTTAGCATTTAGTGGTCAAGTGCATACCATAACATTTCAGACTCTTAGTTATCGCAATAAAAGGAAGATTTAGAGGACTCACAGGAGTGCTTAAAAGAATCAGTAAAACACAAATATTGGATACATTGGAGGACAATAGTTGAATGAAGAACGTACAGATGAAGTAGACCTAAGTCTACAAATAGCTAAGGCTTTCTTTAAGGTCCTTCATTTCCTGTCTGGATGTATCACCTTTACTTACTGTATGTGTTTGTGGAAAGCTGTAAGCGTCTTGGGAGAATTAATGGATGCTAAGCAGGTGTTGCAGAAGGCTGCATACATACCTTTGAAAGCCTTCCTGGAATACAGATGGTACAAATGGAAGTTTCTGGATCTGAAAATGGATAGTTATTATAAATTGTGTTGCAATGGAAAGGGCCTGCTTTTTACCCCGGCTGCCCAGCTAGCTTAGCCCCAAAATAACAACACAGAAATTGTATTAATTAAAACACCTCTTGGCCCATTTGCTCTGGTCTCTTATTGGCTAACTCTCACATCTTGATTTAACCCATTTCTATTAATCTGTATATTGCCATGTAGCAGGCTTACCGGGAAAGATTCTAACCAGCGTCTGTCTCAGGCAGGAGATCCATGGCATCTCTGACTCTGCCCTTCTTTCTCCCAGCATTCAGTTCTGTTTTCTCTGCCTACCTAAGTTCCGCCCTATCAATTAGGCCAAGGCACTTTCTTTATTCATTAACCAATGAAAGCAACACACAAACAGAAAGAACTCCTACACCAAAATTGTTTTAATATTACCTCTAGTATTTTTTCTTTTACTCAGATAAATTAAAAAGTTTCTTCTTTGGCTAAAAATTTAAATTACTAAGGGTAAAAATTTTTATCTTGCCTTTAATGGACATACTAGTGAATTAGTATATTTGCATGAAAGATCATTTATGGTTAATTAATTTTCACACGTTGGTTATTAGGTCGTTAAGAAATTATATAGAACAAATTTACTTTTAATTAAATTAAATTCAACTTTAATTTTTTTTAGAGCATATTAAAAATATAATGACCCTGGAAGAATCTGTTCAGCATGTGGTCATGACTGCAATTCAGGAGGTAAGTGATAGCACATTCACATGAGTATGAAAGTGCTGAACCAGGATATGCAGAACTATGTATAAATTTTTTAACATTTAGAAAATGTCAAAAGTCTTCAAGCCTAATTTTAGAACGCCAAGTCTAAAAGCCATCTGATAGTTCTCATTTTAAAGTAATTTTATTTAAATTTGGAGCTCAGCATCGAACCCAGGGTCTAGTGATTGCTAGGCAGATGCTGTTCCGTGGATCTAAATCCCCAGCCTCTAAACATTCTTTTCTGTACCTTCTACTAATAAAGCAAAATAATCAACTTTGCTGCATGTAGAACATTCCATTTCCTCTCTTCTTCCTGCCAGGTGGGACAGGGTTCCCAACACTAATGCAGTGGTTCTCAATTTGTGGGTTGTCTAAGACCCTTGGAAAATGCAGATGTTTACAATACAATTTATAATGGTAGAAAATTACAGCTATGAAGTAGCAATGAAAATTTATGGTTGGAGGTCACTACAACATGAAGAACTGTATTAAAAAGGGTCACAGCATTAGCAAGACTGAGAACCTAGTGTATCTGTATCATGTGCCTTTAGAATTATAGGCTTAGATTTCAGAGTCAAATAACCCGAATTTAAGATTATAATTATATCAGACATACTGGAAGGGTATTGCCTCTTAATTCCAGTTATAAGTCTTAGGTAAAAAGCACGAATTTATGATATATGAGTCATTTTTAAGAGGGGCATGATGTTATATCCTGTAATCCTTGCTCTTGAAGGAGCACACAAACTTGAAATCAGCTTAGTCTACCTCATGAGAACATGACTAGAAAAAGTACAAAATAAAAGAAATTTAAGAATCCCCTATTTAAAAAATATATTTGTGTTTATAGTCAGTAAAATGTCTCTTAAAATTTGCATTGTAATTTATTCTTAATCTTAGCACTAATATGCTTGAATATTCTTACTTGATTCTACCTCTAAAGAAGTTTTTTTTGTGATCAGTGTTCTAAGTAAGGTTCATTAAATTAAAGTAAGAGAAAGCTAAATATAAGTCAATTTATGCTACTTCAAGTAAAGAGACTTTCATAAACATTATACCATTGCACTTAACTTTGCTGTTTTAATTTCCTAGTTAATGAGTAAAGAAATAGTGAGCTCTCCTGCAGGTGACGCCGTTGGAGAATTAGAGCAACAGGTAAGACTGCGGGAGGGACAGCTGACAATGGTGACATGGTTCCCCTCCCATCTATTTTACAAGACTTAAAATCACGTGCAGCGATCCCTCTTGTGGCACTGAATATGCTTTGCAGTAAGATACCACTTGGATACTCATACGTGTTTTCTAGTGAATATAAGTAGTGATAGCTTTAGTGTTTTCTGTGATCCTGTTCCAAGAATCAGTGGCACTAAATATTCCAGCCAGCCTGTTACTAGCTGTTTGGCCCATTCTACATGGTTACACTATTAAACAGTAGATAATTTTTTAAAAATCTCTAAAATTTTTATTATGGTTTCAGTACTGGTACACACACACACACACACACACACACACACACACACACACTTCTGTCTTTTTCTCTGAGATTAAAGAAATAGCTCAAAACTCAGGATCTTGTTGACAGCACTTCTTACATAGGATAAAGTTCCCCCTCTCCCTTTCTATAGTTAATCAGGGTGGTCCAGGGACAGGGTGAAGTGAGGTCAAATGCATTTTTAGGTATTTCTTTTGTAAACCTCTGGCTCCCCACTCCACAACCTGGGGTAATATTAGATATCTTAAAGAGTATTTCAAATTGATTTTTTATGGAAATTTTGTTTAAATATAAACATACTTTTAAACATTTTCTGCAATAAAATTAAAAAGTAAAATCTCTAATAACATTTAAAATATATCCCAAAAATTTTCATAAGGTTTTATTTCTATGGAACCTTATCCTTAATTATTAGTTAGATTATGTAAATGTCATACCAAGGCAACACATGAAGGCTCATTAATTAACAGATGATTTTTAAACATGATATCTAATACCACTATACACATGTTGATAAACGACTTTCCATTCTGGTCCACTCAGCCTGATTACTGAGAACCGTGCTTTCTGTTTCAGCTGAAGAGGGCGCTAGAGGAGCTTCAGGAAGCCGTAGCAGAGAAGGAGGAGCTAAAGCAAAGGTGCCAGGAGCTGGATATGCAGGTATGGACATGGGAACCTGAGCTGTCTTTAATTTAAATAACTAAAACTAGCAACCTGTTCTGAAGGTTGGTTTGTATTTCAGAGAAGAGACATTAAGATGACTCTTTAACATTTAAATAGGAGTTTTATAAGTATTTTTCTCTCTTTGAAAATTGTTGACATGATTAGTTTTGGAGAAAGCATGCCAATTGGAGAATTTCAGCTAATTAATATATGAGGATTCAGTTTGCATGTTATAAAAATGGAAGATTTAAGCAGGGTGTGGTGTGCACGCCTTTAATCCCAACACTCAGGAGGCAGAGGCATTTAAATCTCTGTGAGTTCATGGCCAGACAGGGCTACATAGAGAAACCCTGTCTCAAAAAACCAAAAAAAAAGTTTTAAAAAATGGAAGAAATGAAAGACTTAATGTATTGTCTCTATGGCATGGTCGTTTTTGAATATTAAGTGAAGTAATTTAATGTTCTGCTCAGTGATGCGATGCATGACCCTTTTAATAAAGTGTAACTCTGGTTCATCTATATGTCCATATATGTATGTATGTAGTAGCCTCTTATGTTTGCCTTGACATGTATATGAATATGTCTGTGTATTTCCTATATTAAACAAATGTGGCATGAACAAGTATTTGGGAACCCACTAAGTAAAGACATAGTTGTTCAGGTGTGGCACAATTGTATCCAAGTACTCTGAGGATGAAGGATCTCACTCACCAAGTGAGAAAGTATGTCTCATCTTATTGTATGTCTAAAAAACAACCTTAAGAATTGTCAATAAAACCAGGGAAGGTTAGCATAGGGGTGTGTGTGCGTGCGTGCGTGTGTGTGTAGTAAGAGAACAACTTCCAGGACTTGGTTTTCTCCTTTCACCACGAGACTGAACTCAGGCCGCAGACTTGGATGACAAGCTCCTTCACCCCCCGAGCTGTCTTCCCAGTGCCCACTTACATTTACATTTATCTCGCCCATTTTACAAGATAAGCAAGTGCCTTGTCCACATGAAAACATTTTAGCTGTTTTTTTTCTTAGCTGATTCTTTAACCAAGTATGCTTGTCTCCAGGATATGTGACTGGTTATTTTCTACTGTGAACTTAAAATGGTAATTTAGGCTGAGAGAATGACTGCATCCTGAAAATTAGCTTAGACCTCAAACTGTTTAACTTCAAATTTAGATTTGATTTCTCTTATTCTAATATTCCTGTGCTCAGAATTCTAGAGTGGAAGAATCCTTAAAACTTACCTATCGGTCAAACTGTTTCATCCTCAGTCAGAATTAGAGTACAAAACTCCCAGCTCGTCAGTGGTGGTTTTCTCTTGATGTTTGTTTCTCAGGTGACTGCACTTCAGGATGAGAAGAACTCACTGGTCTCTGAGAATGAGATGATGAATGAAAAGCTTGACCAGTTGGACGGCTCCTTTGATGATCCAAATACAATGGTTGCGAGAAAGTATTTTCATGCACAGTTACAGCTAGAACAATTACAAGAAGAAAACTACAGGTAGTATTTTTAGTAGAAATTACTGAGTTTTATTAAACTGATATCTAAAGAGTCATAATTATCAATAGCCAATACTTGAAAATTATATATGCTTAGGACATTGATTAAAGTATACCTAACAAAAGTACCAAATGGTATCAGCAGTGCCTTCCTTACAGGGTTCAGTCAGATTAACAAGGTAGGATATGCACATTAAAATAAGGACTTCAAAGATATAAGCCAGATATTGGCTGGAGACAGTAAGAGTTGGGGGCGGGGTTGCAGAGGCTTGGAGAGAGCGTGTCCACAGAAGTAAGGTAATAGTAATAAAAGGATATAGATCTTAAGCTTAAAAAAATGCTTTTCATGCTAACATTTTGCTCTTACCTTTAGTAAAGGTTGGCTGTTTCTGACAGGCAGACTGCTGAGCCTTGTGCCAAGACCTTAGGACAAGCATTTTGATTGTACCTTACATATATTTTCATATCCTTTCAAATTTGCAAAATAAAGTTGTGAGGATATAAGGAACTCTTTACTACATGTCTTTTGTAGCTGTCTCATGGTTGTTATTATAAAGCCTTCTCTGCTTATCACAGCCAGTATTCATGTAGTTACTCTTATTTTTAGAGAGATACAGATTCTTTAGCCCCCTCTTAAGCTTTAGTGTGTGTTTTCTAAAATCAGCACACCACAGCGTAGTTGATAAGGAGATTGGTTACTGACACAATGTTCCTGTATAAACGACCGAACATTTTCAGATACAATCGGTTGTTTCATTTTCTTTACAACTTTTCCTATTCAGAATGGAATCCTTTGTTTTGATGTGCTGCTCTCCTAGATTTGACCAAGTCAATCATTTATCCTTTAAATGTAATCTTTCTTTTGAGTACTTTCTTCTGACATAGCAATATGCCCTAAACTGTTGTAGTTTATTTAGAATTAATATTTTACTTCCTTACATAGCATATATATTTTTAAAAATTACTGTATTTTTACATCCTTATTTTTCTTTGCCAATTAAAATTTTAGTTTAATCTAAATTAAACTAAATCTGTTGTAGTTTATTTAGAATTAATATTTTACTTCCTTACATATCATATATATTTTTAAAAATTACTGTATTTTTACATCCTTATTTTTCTTTGCCAATTAAAATTTTAGTTAGAACCAGATATGCATAAAAGGTAAATTGAAAACTGAGAGCATTATGTACCTTTTATTTGTGTTTCAATGTTAATGGCTAAGAGTTACTTGAATTTTTCCTCTTCTGAAGGTGGAATTTAAGTGTGTCATACTAACTTCAAATCTCAATGAGAAGACAAAGGATGAAGCTATATTAAAAATTATTTCTTTTAAGGCTTGAAGCTGCAAAAGATGATTACCGTGTTCACTGTGAGGAACTTGAAAAGCAGCTGATTGAATTTCAGCACAGGAACGATGAGCTGACAAGCCTCGCTGAGGAAACCAGAGCTCTGAAAGACGAGATAGACGTTCTTAGGTACGGCCTGCCTGGGCGCTCGTGCTGCTCCTCAGCTACTGCGCAGATAGCTTGTGATTTCCAGTCTTACCTGAACTCTTACTATCCCTGTGTATTGATCACTGTTTATTTAGACTTCTGTTCCTTTTCTGTGTTCATTAATTAGAACTGCATTTAAAGATGTAATAATGTTCAGGGTTTTTTTTTTCTTTTTTTTATTGATTTTATTGAGCTATGCATTTTTCTCTGCTCTCCTCCCTTTCTCTCCCCTCCCCTTCTGCCCTGCCCTCTCCTATGATCCCCATGCTCCCATTTTACTCAGGAGATCTTGTCTTTTTCTACTTCCCATGTAGATTAGATCCATGTATGTCTCTCTTAGGGTCCTCATGTTGTCTAGGTTCTCTGGGATTGTGAGTTGTGGGTTGGTTTTCTTTGCTTTATGTGTAAAAGCCACTTATGAGTGAGTACATGTGATAATTGTCTTTCTGTGTCTGGGTTACCTCACTCAAAATGATGTTTTCTAGATGCATCCATTTACCTGCAAATTTCAAGATGTCATTATTTTTTTTCTGCTGTGTATACTTCATTTTCTAAATGTACCACATTTTCCTTCTCCATTCTTCAGTCAAGGGGCATTTAGGTTATTTTCAGGTTCTGACTAAGACAAACAATGCTGCTATGAACATAGTTGAGCACATGTCCTTGTGGTACGATTGAGCATGCTTTGGATATATACCCAAAAGTGGTATTGCTGGGTCTTGAGGAAGGTTGTTTCCTTCTTTTCTGAGAAAGCGCCACACTGATATCCAAAGGGATTGTACCAGTTTGTACGCCCACCAGCAATGCAGGAGAGGTTACACCGCAACCTCTCCAGCATAATTTGTCATCAGTGTTTTTGATCTTGGCCATTCTTACAAGTGTAAGATGGAATCTCAGTTGTTTTGATTTGCATTTCTTTGATAACATTCAGTTCTTGTTAGGACAGTTTTATATCAGAACCCGTAAACTCAGAATGATAATGTGTTCTTACATTTTTGAAATAATACACGTTAACAGACTTTGTATGCATTATTGTGTTTTGTTCAAGTAAGCCTAGCTAAGAATTCTAGCATTTCTTTCAGCAGGATTGTCTGTGGGATATAAAATGTATGCTTAGCTGCCTGCTATGTTGTATTTGGGAGTGTGTGTGCATGTTGTGGGAGCCTGAGGGCGCCTTGTTGGAGTTGGCTCTCCTCCCGCACGTGGGTTCTGGTGACTGAACTTAGGTGTCAGGCTTGTTGGGGAACACCTTCAGCCACTGAGCTGTTTTGCTAGGCCTTGTTAGTATTTTTATATGACATTTTTCTCTGTTTTAAATACCCATTTGAAAAGAAATCATTTTAGCTGTTAATTTGAACTTATATGTGTTATTGAAGTGATTTGGGTTTTTTCAGTTTATTTTTGCTTTAGCCTGGTTAATCAGATAAATGCAGTTCTAAAGAAAATGCTTTGCCAGACAAATTTGTCCATTGATTCAACTTTGAAAGCATATTGAACACTTAGAACTGTTTACTAAATGATATATGCAATTTGCTTGAGAACTGTAGATAGCTCAGAATTTAGTCATGTGTACCAAATCATACATTTTGATAGATTGTGCTAAAAGTCTAAATTTGAGGTATTTTAATAGTTGATGACTTTACAACAAAAATATTGACTTGAAATGGTTTTAGGCTTATGTTTTTGTTATTGTTTGAATATTCATTTCACAGCTAGAACAAAATATGTGTGCATACACGTTTTGTTAATTCAGGGCTACCTCAGACAAAGCAAATAAATTGGAGTCAGCAGTGGAGGTGTATCGTCAGAAGCTACAAGATCTAAATGACCTTCGCAAGCAGGTGAAATCTCTACAGGAGACAAATATGATGTATATGCACAACACTGTGAGCTTGGAAGAGGAGCTCAAGAAGGCCAACGCAGCACGTGCACAGCTAGAGACCTATAAGCGCCAGGTGAGAGTTGTCTATATATCTCATTGATGAAGTTAAAAGTTCAGTGTTACAGTTTCATTTTGTTTTTCAGTGATATAGAAGTGTTGAGTGTAGTAAGTTGTATGCTCCTGATGAATTTCTTCTTTCTATAATTGTAGTTTAGGTGACAGTTAAAGGATCCGACTTGCAGCCACGGTGGTGGTGGTGCACGCCTTTAATCCCAGCACTCGGGAGGCAGAGGCAGGCAGATCTCTGAGTTCGAGCCCAGCCTGGTCTACAAGAGCTAGTTCCAGACAGGCACCAAAGCTACACAGAGAAACACTGTCTCAAAAAATAAAAAAACAAAACAAAAAGAATCTGTCTTACCTATGTCCTCCACCTTTGTACTACCTTCTGATGTCTTCAGGTTTTCATGTTGAGCTTCTGTTGTTTGTCAGTGTTTTAGGAATTGGACAAATCCCTAGACAGTGATTCTCTTGAAATACTCTGTTGTGCCATTTATCAAAAAACCTAGAAAATTATTAAAATAAAGCCTACTTTTAAATATTTTGACTTATTTTAATCTGTTTCTTGAGTTTTATATCATACTTTTTTTTTGATGTATTTTTCGAAATACTTAGAATTAAAAAGTCTGTTTCCAATTCACCCTTTCCATTGTTCAGCCCTGAAAGCTGAGGAGTCTCATGAACTATTTTGCTTTACTTTGTTTTCCTTCCCAAAGGTTCAGGACCTTCACACTAAGTTGTCCCTGGAGTCTAAAAGGGCAGATACACTAGCATTTGAGATGAAGCGGCTTGAAGAAAAGCATGAAGCTTTACTCAAGGAAAAAGAGGTGATCATAAATGTTCAATAAGAAATGTGTCTTTTTTTGTTTTTGTTGCTGCTTTGGATTTCCCTAATCCTTAACCACTAACCTGAATCCTAAGCATATTTTTTCCTAGTGATTTTCTAGTTTAATGCCTATGTTTAAGTCTTTGGTTCCTTATTAGTTGCTGTTTCAGTACACAATGAGAGATATTGCTCGATTTTTTTTTTTTTAAAGCGGGAGGCAACAGTAATTGAAGAGGCATTCTTTTCTCCAATGCCTTTTGTTCTTTTGATGGAGGATCATTTGACTGTAAAGGCCTGGATTTATTTTTGGTATTCGTGTCCCGTTTCAGTTGGTTTGGGTATATTTTGCCAGATCTGGTTCTGGTTGCTGTTCTCTGCAATGCAGTTTGATATCGAGTACTGTGATGCTACCATTGTTTGCTTGGTTCAGGATTGCTACGAGTATTTGGGATGTCTGTGCTTTCATAGGAGTTATAGCTTTTTCCCAGCCATTCTTTTGTGAAAATGTTATCAATCCTTCCATGGAGACTGCACCAAATCTTTATAATTTGGGGTGGCTCAGACATTTTAGAAATATATGATGTTTATATAGAGTGCTAGAGAAGAATTACAATTGATAAATTTAGTAAAGTTGTAGGTCAAATCAACACACACAATTAGTAGCTGTTTAAATGCACCATTAGTGAGATTGCTGCAAAGAAATCATGAAAAAAGTCACAGTGACAATAGCTACAAAATAAATGAAATTCTTAGTACTAAGTTTAACCAAGAAAGTTGGTGAATTTAATCAAGGAAGTTTCTGCGGTGAAAGTGAAAAACACTGATGATAGAAATGAAGACAACACCTAACAGAACACAGTCTCTGTGCTCACACATGCTTTATTCAGTCCTCTTAGCTTTGCCAGTAGAGACAATGAAGTCACAGTCACAGTCCTCAGTTTTAGTGCATGTTTCTATTCTAGATTTTCAGCCAACTAACTACCTTAAAGCAAGGACCATCAACAGCTTTATTAGCATATAGGAACAAACCATGTCTTGTACTTTAAAGTATACTGTTCCACAGGTACCATATAGCAGTCATATTGCTGTGACAGGATGCCAATAAAGGCCAATTTATATATGACAGGAAAGATAGATTTTAGCTTATCAGTTACTGAAGCATTATTCTGTTGACAGGCCTGTGGTAGCGTGAAACACCATAGCAGCAGTGACCTTTTGAAAGAAGAGACTGTTAGGTCATGGTGGATGGTAGGCAGAGAAAGGAGTGTAGGGAATGACCAGGACCAGAGCTAAGTCCCCAAGGACATGACCCAAGGCATCTGTTTCCTCCAACTAAGATTCAGTTTTGATTCTTCATCATCGTGTGAGTCCATCAAGGATTAATCCATTCATCAGTTCAGAGACCTCATGATCCACCCCCGCCAACCTCATAGCTGCGCTTTTGCTGCTATTCTAAGCATTTATTGATTCAATTGAGCTGAGAATTGAAACCATCACACAAGGCTTTTAGTATATATCTATAGAATTGAGCCACCATTACTGTAATCAAGTTTTAGAATACTGTTGTTACAAAAAGAAATTCTTTACATAGCAGGTAGCATACAGTCGTCTTTGTCCATCAGTCTCAGCAACTGTTACATTCTTGCTGTCTCTGCATTTTCCTGGCGTGTCTGAACCATACAGTGACGTGACTAGTTTTGTGATTATTTTAGCTCACGCTTCATTTGGTGTACTGTCTATTGCCCACTGTGTTGATACAGCATGTTTCATGTTTCATTTGCCTAGTCATCAGTGTGTGTGCATTGGGACTCATCCCACTTTGGGCTGTTATGAATATTGCTTCTGGTTTATTCACATGTTTTTATGTGGTGTTTTTCATTCCTCTGGAGTACATACTAAGGCAGGTGGCATAGTGCCTTACAATAAGTATATTTAATCTCTTTTTCTGTGTGCCTGCCAACACTTTTCTGTCATTTTAATTTATTTTAGCTATCCTAGTGAACATGAATTTTTACTTGCATTTCCGTAATGGCTAAGGACCTTGTGCAAGTATGTGTACTTTATGGTTCTTAAGATCTTTCCCATGATTCACTTCAATTATTTGCTTTTATTTTGTAAGGATGTTTAAAAATATACTCTGGATGCAAGTCCTTTCTTAGATAACTACTTTTTTATTGTTGTCTCTGATTCTGTGTGTTGTTCTCTCAAGTTCACAACAGTCGTGTTTGCAGCAAAAGTTTCCCATATACATAAAGTAACAGCTGTCCGTTTTCCTTGTTTTTTATTTACCTCTTTGTGCTCTTTCACAGGTGTAGAGTCAGGCTCTTACATGCAGTCTGTGTTCCACTTTGTACATGATGTGAGGTGGTGTCCAACTTACTCACTTGTAGGATGTTGTCTGCTGTCCCAACAGCATTTGCTTAAAAGATTTCTTTCTTTATTGAAGGTGTCGTGTCACTTGTTATGAGTCAGTGTGCCTGACTCTGTTGTGGTACATACGTGTCATAGGCTATGTGACAGGAAGAACAAAGCCTGCTCACTGGAATGCATTAATAACAGTGCACTCACACTGGCACATTGGAATGCATTGGCAATATTTTACTCACACTAGCACATAGGTCACAGCAATGCAGAGATATTAGAAATACAGAAACTGGCAGTGGAAGAGAAATGAGGGAATGCATAGGAACTTGGGGTTTCCTGCTCATTTTCTAATAAATCTAAAATTACCCAAAAAAGAGCCTACTAATTAAAAAATTACATGTATCTTGCCTATCAACTCTCTTACATTGATCTATATGTCTAGCACCTGGGTTGGTATCCCTCTGTCAGTCATGATCATTATAGCTTTTTAGTCAAGTTTTAAAATCAGAAAATGTGAATTCTGGGCAGGCTAGGTGGCTCGGTAGGTAAAAGTTCCTGGCGTCAAAGTTGACAACCTGAGTTTGATCCTTGGACCCCATGTGTGGAAAGCATGCACACACACACACGTGCACACACAGAGCTGCTGGCTCCTGGTTGTTGTTAGGGTTGTGACTGCTGATAGGACAATTCTTTTTTAGAGACTGATAGAGCAGCGTGACACTCTGAAAGAGACGAACGAGGAGCTGCGGTGCTCACAAGCACAGCAAGATCACCTACACCAAGCTGGTGAGTTGGGAAGATTTACATTTGGTTTTCTAGTGATTGAAATACTGATGACACACTGATTGATTTCTGTTGCTTAGATGTGTCTGCTACAAAAAGTTATGAGAACCTCGCTGCTGAGATCATGCCAGTGGAATACAGGTAAATGTGTACTGACTGAAAACCATACCTGATAGTACAAGTACCACTTGGTTTTAGTCTCTTTTTTAAAAATGTACTTGTCTATTAAAACTTTAATGAGAAAGTTTTATTATTTAATAAAAAGTTTATTATTATAATATAGCTGAAAACAACTTTCTTTAGTTATGTTTACTTCAGCAATTTAAAAAATGTCATAAGTAAAATTTTAAGAATTGGCAGAGTAACAATCTAGTGTTTATGAGAAGGCCTGTATTTTATTAAAGTATTTTTTTATTTTTTTAACTCTGGAAAACTCTTAATAGATGACATTCAAATCTCTGTGAGTGGAATGAAATGGAAACGTTGTCAGTAGTAGTAGACAAATTAACAAAATACAAATGTAGGCATTCTCCCTCAGTCTGTCTTTTATCCAGGTTGTTTATGGTCATTTACTTCTAAGCATTTTACCTATCTAGTTGTAAAATATTATTTCTATGCTTTGGCACAAGTCAGGTCTTATTTATTAACTCCGATATTGTCTGTGTAGTTTAAGCTGTAACTCATCACTTACTGTACGCACAGAGCTGTCCCTGTCGCTGCCTGTCCGTTACTGTCTGTTGTTAGAGCCTCTGTCATTGCAGATCTCACCCAGGTGACCAGTGCCAGCTGCCTTTTATTACTGACATACATAGGATCTAACAGTTGGTGGCCTTGTGGAATTTAGATCTTTTTCTTAGAATAATATAGACAAATAATACTGAAATTCTCTCGGACACATTTCAACTTTATAGATAAGACTATACTTACTAACAGAGCAGTTTAAAAATACATCAGAAGCAACATCCCACAAGCTAACATTCTAAATTTATAGCCTTTTTCTTGCTAAGCTTTCATGTGCTTTGTTGTTGAAAAAAAAACTTACTGCCTAAAATTCATATAACAAAAGCTGTTTTGCTTTAAAAGTTAAGTAACTCATTTCAAGTTATAAAAGTATAAAGAAGACAAAAACCAGTATCATTAACAAACCTCAGACTAGTTACGTAAATCGAGAATCATTTTCTTTGTTGTTGAGTCAATCATTATTCTAAAATCAGTTTTTCAAAGGCTGTAGAGCTTAATTTTTAGAGTGATGCTTTTGTAATTTAAAACAAAATTAGATTTGTTGAAAGTAGTTATTTTAGGAGTATGAGATTTGGAAAAGGGAGAAAGTATAAATTTCCTATTTAATATCAGAATGAAAATTACATTGAATAAAATATGAAAAGAACTTTAAGACCTTTATATAAACAATTAATACATTTTTAAATATCTAAAAATATATGTTTACTGTATTTACACCATTGCCCATCTCTCACCCTTTGTGTACCCTTCTCACACGTTACCTCTTGTATGTGTGTGTGTGTATATATATATGTGTGTGTGTATATATATATATGTGTGTGTATATATATATGTGTGTATATATATATGTGTGTGTATATATATGTGTGTGTATGTGTATATATATATGTATATATATATATATTAAACAAATAAATCTTACCTGCTGCGTCCATTTACTGTTGCTGATATGTATGTGTTTTGGGGCCTGACCATTTAGGAATGGATAACTAACCAAGTAGAGGTTCATTCCTGAAGAAGACTCATTCTCTCCAACAGTCTTTAATTGGCTGTATCATCTACATCTTGTGAGATTTCCCCCATCCAGCTGATGCTGTCATTGTTTAGGTCTTGTTTGGGCAGCCTTGTAGTTGAGATCCCATGTATGCAGCTTCCATGCCCTTATATAAAAGATTTCTCAGCAGACATAGCTTGGTCTTCTGTCTCTTGGAATCTTCCCTTCCCATTTTCTGTCGTGTTCCAGAGGCTAAGATGTAGGATTGTGTTGGGGGTGCATGAGTCAGTGCTCAGCACCCTAGTCAGTTGTTGTGGCTTCCTGTAATGGTCTCCTGCAGCATTTGCAGTTTTCTGGCTGAGGGGCAAGAGGTACACTTATGTTTGCGTATAAGGATAAGTATTAAGAATACATGTTAAAGCTGAGCATAGTGACACATGCTTTTAATCCCAGTGCTTTGGAGGCAGAGGCAGAAGATCTCTGGAGTTCTAGGCCAATCAGCACTCTATAGTGAGATCCTGTCTAAAAGAAAAAAGAAAAAGAATGCAGTTAAAGATTATACTGATTTAAGGAAGTGACAGTAGTAGATTCTATTGAATGGACCTTAAGTCCAGTTACCAAGATGTAAGTGCCAATATGCTATCTTTTGGGGTATCTTGCCTTGCTGGTCGTTGTCTGTAAGCACCAGAGCTGAGTGCTGATTACTGACTATTGATTACTTTTCTTGGCAGCTTTCTTAACAGCTTCAAGTATTGTAAGATCTAGTCCTTAAGGAGGACACTTCCAGGTCAAATTCTGCTGGGTTCCTCTTAAGTCCTAAGTGCCTGTTGTCTTCCACAACAGGGACTTACCTTCAACCTCTGAGAGGCAACCAAGTGCAATAGCAACAGCCTATATTGTGTTAGGAGTCTCTTAGATGCCCCTAACCAGCAACTAGAAAGGAAGTTTCTTATACCTACACTGTTTTTTTTCTTTTTTTCTTTTTGGTTCTTGGGGGAAGGATAAGCACAATCACACTAACTGGCATAGCTTCATTTAAAAAAAAATCCATACCCCCCACAGTTAGACATAGCTTAAGGTGATCATAAGATGATTCTCCCAACTGAAAACATCCTTTCTGTTTCCCACCCCCGACCTGGGACTGTGCTATTCTAACCCTTCCAGCTTACTTCCCTCCCTATTTTTCTCATTTACTACTTCACAGCACCCATGGGCTGCTGTTCCCATAACTAGAGTCTTTCCAGGTTGATATATTGTGAACTCAACTCCTGCAGATTCAGAGCTGGAGTACAAATAAGAGAAATGGAGCATTTATATTTTTTCTTTAGACTATTTACCTGCTGAAAATATGATTCCATTTTTCTTTACAGCCAAATAATCTCATAAAGTTAAAAATAAATCACCCCTTGGCATATGCCCAAAAGACTCAATATCAAAATAGCTATGAAATGAAAATAACAAAATTTCCTTCAGTTGATGATTGAATAATGAAAATGTACATATACACAAAAGGTTTTCTTGAAGAAAAAAATATGAAACCGGGTGATAGTGGCACACGTCTTTAATCCTAGCACTGGGGAGGCAGTGGCAGGTGAATCCCTGTGAGTTCGAGGCCACCCTGGTCTACAGAGAGCTAGGGGTGTTATACAGAGAAACTCTGTCTCGAACCCCCCACTTCAGAAAAAGATAGAGATTAGTGATCATAAAAATGTATTTAAGATTTTTTGGCAAAATGTTTTCTTACAATCTTTTTTATCATACACATTCTGAAAATATACTACTTTTTCCAGAGGTTATTAAAATTCAAAAGTGAAGATTATCTAGAGACTTGCATAATTAAATTTTGAGGTGTGACCTTTCAGGACATACAGTATTTCTTTAAACCTTTCAGGTGTTTTGATCATATTTTTAAATTAGATAGGAGCTCCCTTAAACTAATATGGTGGTTCCAGTGAGCTGGCTCAGTGGGTTAAGGTACTTGCTGCCAGCCCTAGCTACCTGAATTCTATCCCTGGATCCACGTGGTACAGGAGTGAACTGACTCCACAAGTTGCCCTCTGACCTTTAATTTACATGGGTACCCTGGAACATGTGTGTACAAACACATATACATACCTATTTACACAAAATAAGTAGCAACAATTTGAAAATATATTGTGAACTTTATTTTCCAACATTAGGGAGGTGTTCATCCGACTGCAGCATGAGAACAAAATGCTTCGCCTGCAGCAGGAAGGGACGGAGAACGAACGCATCGAGCAGCTGCAGGAGCAGCTGGAGCAGAAGCACCGCAAGATGAACGAGCTGGAAACTGAGCAAAGGTGACTGCTGCCATTAGGAGTCATGTGCAGGAACCAGCACTGGGGTCTGAATAAGTAGCATTGCCAAGCAGGTGTTTCTCACCACTGTAATCCTGACCTATGAAGAATTCAAAGGATTAGTTCAGGGATATCATCTTAAAACATATGAATAATGTTCATTTTAATAGACTTGACTAGCCAGGATACTTATTATTGATTTTCACTAGACAGCCTCACAACTGAAAGAAAACAAATAAGTAAATAATGATTTAGTAGCTCCTACAGTTGGGTGTATAGATAGGACACAGATTGTATAGTCAATTTTTAAATTTTTAGTTTTTTTTTAAAAATTTCAGTAATAATAATGCACAAAATAATACCTAACACACATCAAAAGTTATATTTTTAAATAGAATATGTTCACTGAGATTTACATTGGTGAGCTAAAATTTCTCATAATAATTCATATGTATTTAAAAATTACTGGTCATTCTTGGACATGGAAATTTGCATTTTAGAGGTAGAATAAAACTTCCACAAGAATGGAAATGATGTGGTATCTAAACTTAGGCTTTGTTGTGTGGTCAGTTAGAAGTCCACTTCTGCTTAGCTCAGCTGCTGTTTCTCAACAAGTTACTTACGTTCAGACTGTTCAGCTGTAGACACAGGAGGAATCTGCTTATGTATTTGCAGCAGATAGTGTGCTTTCCTTGTCCCACTCAAGTGCCTTAAACTTAAATGTGACTTCTAGGAATTTCTTGTGGAGTCTTCCATAATGTCTTTCCTTGTGTGCTTCAAACTTGTGTTTTCAGTGTTAGACACTAAGCCAGGGCTTCCTACATGACAGGCAAGCCAGTGCTCTATGCTGAACTCTCTTTCCACCCTCATAAATAGTAGTTACATACTTTTGTCGACCAGTTCATAAATCCTCACTGTGAATTAGGGACTGTGGTCACCTTTTCTATGGATCAGGAGGTGGAGATGGAGAGAGTCAGAAGCTCACTGAATTTAGGCAGCTGTATAAGCTCTGGATTCCATATTGACGGCATCTGCCGGCCTGACTGCTGAGCGTCTTCTAACTTACCTTAGCAAGAAGATACTCAGTATAGAGATGGGTGCAGCTGGATTTGTTTATCCAGCTTTTACCAGATCGTCAAGAGACCTCTGGGGTTCGGACATTTGAACCTTGTTTCCTGTGAGTAAAATAGGGTACACTTGACTGTTCTGAAGAGACTTGATTATTACTATATTGCTAACCCTGGAAATACTAGGTTTCAGCTTTTGGTGATAAAGAGTGATAGATGTGTGACTCATTCAGTATGTGCATGTATATGCTTTAAGAGGGGGAAAGTTCTAAGTTATTTCTGCAGAAGCGACATCCTGTTCTGCCTATCGTGCTTGTCACAGATAGTAGCCTTGCCCTTATTCATGCTAACATTTCTATTAAATTTCGTGGAAGCACTTTTATAAACCCCAGCTGCTTTAACTTCAAATATGGGTAGATCAATACCAACTCATGTCACAATAGATTGAGCAAAGAGCGCATTGGAGAATTGCAGCAGCAAATTGAGGACCTCCAGAAGTCGTTACAAGAACAGGGCTCCAAGACTGAAGGCGAAAGTGTGAGTAAGAGAGTCTTAACTTGTTGTACGTGTTTTCTCAAATAATTTCCACTACCCATTTATCTGCATTTGAAAATGTACCCTTCTCATTAATGGTACCTTCAGATGCCGTATATATCTGCATAACAGATGCAATGATTTTGCCAACTTACAAGTCTTACAGATTGCTTATATGCATCCTAAGGTGATTTGTATCTGTCCTGCTTGGAATCTGTACTTAAGTTCTCTATGTCTTGACTCATAGTAGTAGACTTTGAGACCCAACAGATCTACAGGTATTCTAACCAGGCTTGTCCTGAAGTACAAGAGAAATGAGAATAATCCGCACTCAGAAGTGAGAAAGCTTCCTAATAGGAAACAAGTGATTCCAATTGACAGCTCACTCCAGAAATCGGAACAGGTGTGAAGGACAGGAACACAGTTTTGAAGACATCATCTCTATTGCTTCCCCCCTTTCACACCATTCAAAGCATTTCAGACAGTATGAACTGAGATAAGAAGAGTTGAAAAGAGATTTAATCTGAATTTTGACATATCTAGCAGTTTTTCCATACTTTACCTGAGATGCAGTTGGTGAAAAGAAAAGGTAGATCTGGCCGGGCGGTAGTGGCACAGGCACTGGGGAGACAGAGGCAGGCGGATCTCTGTGAGTTTGAGACCAGCCTGGTCTACAAGAGCTAGTTCAGGAAGGCTCCAAAGCTACAGAGAAACCCTGTCTCAAGAAAGAGAGAGAGAGAGAGAGAGAGAAGGGAGGGAGGAAGGGAGGGAGGGAGGAAGGGAGGGAGGGAGGAAGAAAGGAAGGAAAGAAGGAAAGAAAGAAAGAAAAAAAGAAAAGAAAAGAAAAGGTAGATTGGTAGATCTGGATGTATAAGCAGATGTCAGCTGATAGAAAATCCTAGTGGGAGAGGAAGCTGTGAAGTAAGGAGTGGTGGAAAGGCAGATAGATATTGAAAGGGCTGAGTTTCCCTCTGTCTTTTCATACTTTACATGGTTTTCTCTTTCTTCCCGGGGGGCTTGGAACATAGAAGTCATCTCATGCATGGCGACATCTCATATGTGTATATATATGGTATTGTATCCTTTCTAAAACTGGTATCTCTAAGCCATGTTAGGGAATACTTTAAAATGGCGCCTATTTGGGATACTATGTTTTGGGTTGCAGTGTTTGAAGATTGTCAGCTCCTTTACTTTTGATTTTACTGTATTGATTTTCACATTACCAGAATTTTGCAGGTGCCCAGTTGGTACAGAACTGCTGTGGTTCTAAGTACTGCTTTTAAAGGAGGAAACTTGATTCTTTATATTTGTTTTTAACAAAAGTCCAGGTGCCTCATTTAGTGTTGATGTTCAAGTGCTTTCATTTATAATAAGGTTTTATAAGAAAAATATTAAAATCTATTTTATACAGTAGTTGTTAATTAGGTACTAAAATGTTTGATACTCCTCAGTATGTCACATTCAACTTGGATTTCCTTTTTTTTCCAGTTCACATTTAATTTTTATTATGTTCAAAAATAAGCAGAATTTTTCTTTGTTACTCTTCTTTACTTCATTTCCCATCTTTATTTCCTTTTCCTATTGATGAAAATATACCTAAAATTTTAGGTTTTAGAAACTGCTATTACAAATACATGTTTTTAAGATTAATTTTACATAACATACCTTTAAAAGAAGTGAAGAAATCTAGATGTTTGGAAAATTTACCCTTCTCAAGTGAATCATCTTAACAGGAATTATTTTTAATTTTATAGTCCAGCAAACTAAAGCGGAAGTTGGAAGCTCATATGTAAGTAAACTGATGTTCCATTTCAAAGGGGAAGGGTGGTAGAAGCTTCTGGAAAATGCCTTTTCTGACTTGGTGAATGAAAACACAGGCCCAGACTACTCATTACTGCTACCAAGGGCAAGAAAAGACATGGTCAATTGCTCATGCCTGGCAGCCGCCAACTCCTGCATTTTTGAACAGCTAACATCATCTGACAAATTGAACCGAGCAGACATTTATGGACCAGCCGGGTGGATGCTGTGCTGCTAAAGCTGTCCAGCCTTTCCTTTGAGTTGTGTAGAAAGGAGGTGCTGAGGGAAAGGCTTTGGAGTGCACCGTGTGTCAGGTGCACTAACATCTACACAGCAGACCCTCGAGTTAGGTTCCCTTTCTACCTGTGGGAAACTAAAGATCAGACAGATTCTTGCCTAAAGTCCAGACCTTATTGTGGCGAAGACCAGTTTTCATTCTAACATCTGTTTGATACCAAGCTACATGATCTCTTCACTACTTAGGGAAAAGCTAACAGAAGTCCATGAAGAATTACAGAAGAAACAGGAGCTCATTGAAGACCTTCAGCCAGATATAAGTCAGAATGGTAAGTTTGGGTAAAATCTGGATACACTTCTCAGGATTAACCCTTCTAGTGAAGCAGATAAGAAAATAGATCCGCCTTTACACAGTGTGTTGTGTGTACATTGCATAAGAACCATGATAAATTTTAAAGCTAACCTCATTTGTGTACAATATAATTTTCAAGCAAAACAATTTTAGTAAGATGAACTGATTGATATAAAGGAGTATCAAACATTGTAAATTCTAGTCAAGTTAATAATATAGAATCTGAGTAAAATGATACTGTCTTATTTTCTGTCCTTGTGGTTGTTCTTACATTGGACAGTAGACTTCACATTCTTCATGTTTGCTAGGAAAGTAGAAACAGTTAAATTATAGACAGGGGTTGAAGATAGATTACTTGTAGTTGAAAAGTTTTAGATAAGAATAAATTATTAAAAAGATATTAAAGGCTTTTTCTTGGAAACTCTCTTATCAGTCATTAGAAAATAAGTTTGATACGTACAATTTTTACATAAGGATAAAGTATTTTGAATGTGTGGTCATTGGCTTAATTTTATTTTCACAAATAGCCCAAAAGATCAGTGAACTTGAAGCTGCTCTTCAGAAGAAAGATGAAGACATGAAAGCAATGGAAGAGAGATACAAAATGTACTTAGAGAAAGCCAGAAATGTGAGTGACCCACCTGAGCAGATTCCTTGTGCCCCATGTTCTGGTCATCCCTAGTTCAGACACAAGTCTGTGTCTGAGCCTAGTCCCTTGTTCTCCTCCGCCTGTCAGGTTTCTGCCATCTTCTCCGCGAGTCCTGCACAGGCAGGCTGACTTAGTGTCAGATAAATGTGATCTTAGGGACATCATCGACAACGGCAGTAGTGATCTTACTAAAGAAAGTGACTACTGTGGTATAAACTCTTTTACTTATGTGCTAGGGTCTCAGCATGTTGACTGAGAATAAAATTTACTAGAGTGTTAGCAAAATCAATGAAATTATTTACCTTTTTTTGGAGACAGTCTCAGTACTCAGTTGGTTTTATTTTACAATTTAGAGACTTAAACAGTGTCCTGATGTTCATCAGACTAAATTCTTTCTTTTCCTTATTGTATAGTTTAGTTCAAATATCTGTGAAATATTGTTTTCATAGTCTTATTTTCATAAATAACATATAAAAACTTGAAATGTTAATACATTCTTTTCTGTTTTCTAGAAGCTTCTACAACCCTTCCCCTTTGAAATGGAACATTAGTTTACTTACATATGGTGGTGCAACTCTAAAACAGTAGTATATTTACTTGTCTTAATATTTGGACTCCATATATTTACCAGTTAAAATGTCAATACAAGCCATAGCCAAAGTTGAACTAAAAATCTCAAGACTTCCGTCCTAATTTTCGCGTATCTAGTCATGAGTAAGAATGGCTCTCAATGCAGTCACTCAGGTCTCAGCACAGTCCCAGGTTTCCTTACCAATGGCTGCTAGTGGAGAGAAGAGACAGTGTAGACCGCAGAGGTGGCGCACTGTAGGCTAGGCCTGGAGACAGTAGCTCAGTGGGAGGGCTCACACGTGTGCCACAGTGCACATCTCAAAAGAGATAGGATGTAATATAGTTATGTTGCAGAAATAACAAGCAAATATATTTGATTTCTATCACCTACTTGATGGCTCATGATCTCTCCTGGCCTTTGTAAGTCCAGAGCAAACACATGGTGCACATACATACATGTAGACAGATGCCTAGAGATAATCCAGGAAGTAGTGAAAGCTATTCATTCAGAGCTACCTTTTATGTGGAACGAGGTGGAAAGCACAAGGCTTCTGAACAGAGTATGGGGTCATGGCCAGGTCACCTCCCAAAATAAAAACGATAAATTAACTTCAAAAAGCTAAACTAACTTCAGTGCTCAAAGTTTAAATAACAAAAAGGCTAAGTAGCTGCCGTTGAGTACATAGACAAGGGACATTTAGTTTGGTATTGTTTTCCCACTCTTTTGTTCTTTAAATTATTAGTAAGCTCCTAGTGACTTTGTGGAGAACTTATGTTACAATTTTTATAAAACATGTTCTTATATTTTTGATGCTTTTAAAGACAAAATGGATATAACTTTTCTCTTTATACAGGTAATAAAAACTTTAGATCCCAAATTAAATCCAGCATCAGCAGAAATAATGTTACTTAGAAAACAGCTGGCGGAGAAGGAAAGAAGAATTGAGATTCTAGAGGTAAAGCCTCCGCTGCCACCCACCTCACCCTGCCGTGGAGTCCTGGGAATTAACCTCTGTTGTATTTGCCACCCATGATCAGTCCTTATAAACCTTTACTCACTGTAGCTGTGACCTGCTTAGCTAAAACCCTGAGTTCTTAGCTATTGAAGACATTTTGTACTACTGTTTACATCACTTGTATGAAGTCAGGTGGGCGTGGCATTGTTCAGTTTTATGTTATAGTCTGTAATTTATTAGTTTTTTTGGTAAAATGTTTCGCAGGAGCACTATTTTCACACAGTGGTAAGAGTTGGTGCTCTTTTTGGAATGTATTCATTGAGGTCAAGCAGAGCTGTGTTTTCTGGCCTCCCCATGAACTATGATTGGCCTCTTTTTACATAATTAGAACACAGTCTTTTCATACACTGTTTCCTTGTATGCTTTCCAACAAAGTCAGTAGGAACTGTGATGAAATTATTTTCATTCAAAACTTTTACACCTTCTCTTTCCTGCATCCACAATACATACAGCAGGCTAGTGTGTACCTGCTCTCAGCATTTGTCTACTGCGGCATGTTTATAAAATGCACAGGGAAAGTGTATTCTGAAGAAATGTGTTATTTTTACACATTCTATCTCAAATGTTCAACTCTCTTCCTCTAATATGTTTTCTCTATTCACACAAAAGAAATTCGCACTATGTTCTGTGTCCCAGGTCCCCGAAATCATTTTGCAATGCATAGCAGAAGCATGTTTTATAATTTTTCTTTTGGTATATGTTGAAATATCTTGAGGACAAAGTAGTCTGTAACATTTCTGTAGCCCCAGCATTAAATATTCTGTAAATCAGAGGCAGGTTATGCACCTTTATTGATAACTTACCTTAGTCCTCCCCTGTCTTTTCGATTCTTTGTCTGAACTTGTCCAAAATAATATTTGACTGTATAGTCATTGAAACCTTAGTTTTTTAGGGGTGTTGACCATTTACTTCACAGAGGAAGCCAGTGAAGAATGCACACTACTGCTAATGTTCAAAATAGACTCCTAAAGGAGTGATAACAAAATACTACCTCTCACTAGAGGACTCTGAGTGAAAAGCCTCCATTAACTCATAGCATGTGGATACTTAATTTTTGGTTATTCATCACTTGTACATAAGAAGAAAGAGAAGTAGAAGGCAGAAGGCGTTTTCTGGGTATTTGGTCTTGCACCCTGTCTATACTGTGAGCATGTTGCTCAGGGAAGATATAGGCATTGAGTATTCTGTTTTTTATGTATGCTATCTATCTCTGGGGCTCATCAGAATTACAGAACTGACGGTATTAGATAATAAAGGCACTGCTGTCCATACAGTGGTACATGCACGTAGCCACTGTTTGTCTCGTAATTAGGCTGCCAAAAATTGATAGGAAAGTTGTGCCAAGGAGCCTAGCACTTTGTTTGCTGAGTCCTTTCTTCTTGGTTTCAGTTCCTCCATAGGTACAGCACCATCTTGATAGTTTAGCCAGTTGCTTTTGTCTCAAGAAATGGGAATTGGTAGCACAGGAATCCTTCTCTAAGGGTGTGTGTGTAAGCTGTTCTTTCTGAGTAACTCTTCTAAAATGAAGATTGCTTACATTTTTTTGTCTTCCTAAAGATGTTTTGATTCTGTTCTGCATAATTCATGCCTTTATTTTGACTAATTTATGTACCTCACAAGTTCATTTTTTCTATGAAATAGTAAATAAATTACTTTGTCTTCCATATTTTGTGGCAATTCCTGATATTTTAATTGTCTTAATCATTTTTTTTTTCAGAGTGAATGTAAAGTAGCCAAATTCCGTGACTATGAGGAAAAACTCATTGTTTCTGCCTGGTATAACAAGGTATGTTGCATTTCAGTGATGAGTGGGATTGAGCCCTGTTGATCACCTCCTTGACCAGAATAGAAGAAGAGAAGGAAATATATTTTATATCAATACAATACAGTTGTGTTATGGGTTCTAGTGATAAAGAAATACCTTCTCTCACAAGAAAACCAGTAGCCCACACTGGACTACTTTGTTCATGAGGTGATGTATCCTTTTCTTGTTATAATTAAGCTTAACTCTGGCATGGCTATTTTAGGCTGCTGTTTTTAATGATTTAAAATTTAGAGGATTAAAATAAAAACAGAGATTTTTATTGTCTTCTTCCTAGCAGTGTCAGACATAGAAGAATCAACTTTTGAATCCTTAATTTTTTTCTTGCTGGAAAGGAAAGCATTAGCCTGCTAGGGCTGGTGTAAATATTACATTACTTTTTGCATGTTATTTATCTGTTTCTTTACCCAGAGCCTGGCGTTTCAGAAACTGGGCATGGAATCTCGGCTTGTGAGTGGCACTGGTGCTTGCAAAGACACCGGTGTGGGCGCTCCTGCTCGGTCCTTCTTAGCACAGCAGCGGCACATCACCAGCACCCGGAGGAACCTGTCTGTTAAAGTCCCAGCCACAGCATCTGACTAGTTTGCAAACAAACATGAACTGAAGTGCCTCAAAATGTTTTGTACCCCAAGAAACTACCAGACGAAAAACAAAGGTTAAAATGCTTGGTAACAGCCAGTTTTGTTTGGATTTTGTTTGAGATAGGGTCTCCTATACCCCAAACTGGCATTGCATTTACAACGTATTCAGGGATGAATTGGAACATTGATCAGTCCTTCCCTCACTTCCTGCATGCTGGGATTAATAGGTGTATACCAGCATAGCAGGTTTATATAGTGCTAGGATTAATAGGCGTATACCACTGTAGCAGGTTTATATAGTGCTGGGGATCAAAACCTTCCCTGTAAGTCAAGTGACCTATCAACTGATCTACATTCCCAATATTGGTATCAACTATTTTTAAGTCAATATATATCAAATTCATATTTAAGTTTACTGTAACTATAAAATGAAGAATCAGCTGTCTCTGGGCAGCACTTTTGAGTACTTGGAAGTGTGATAAAGGAAATATTTGTCTTGAGATGGCATCATGTGTGGGAAAGCAACTACGTATTCCAGCTTTATGCTTTTAGTTGTAACAGCAAGTCAGTTAATTTGTAATTTAGTAACACATCTAGATTTGCCTTGTGGGAAGCAGTCTCCAGTAAGGCATGTAGAGCAGAACTGTGCAAGGTAAATTCTTTGACCTACGTGTACAGAGCGTTCCTCTACTTGCCATTTCTGCCCTCAAGAGGAGACTTTGTCAAGCTGTGGAAGCTCTAACACTTAGAAGACTTTACTGCTGGAGTGACTTTGTCCTGTCAGAGTGACTGACTAGACAGTCGCAGTTTCTCCGAGATGTATCTCAGTTCGCACACGCACTGCAGTGGATGAAGGCTGCAGGGCTTGACGGGAACTTTAAAGTGGGAAGTAAGCTGTGTTGTAAGAGGGACCTTTCTGTTGGAAAGCAAACTAGAATACATGTTGAATCTCCACGTGCTTTTGAGCATGAAGTTGTTGTGGCCTTTGCTTTCTAAGAAGGGGTAGATCATGTATAATTTTGCCTCATTGAAAAGAAACAACGATATAATAGCTTAGGACCAGTTCAGTCTCTGCTTACCTCTGGGAAGGGTCTGGGAGCTGGATTCGTGGCTGTCAGGTCATTTCTGCCCAGCGTTGGTCTTTTCAGAGAGGTTTCTCTCTAGTTTGGGGTCACTTTTTAAAGTCACACTTTGGAATATTAGTTGTTTAATCAGTATTGCCTGATGTAGACACAAGTGGTTCATGCTTGTGTCAGACACATTTTCAACACTTCGTAGGCATGCTTCACTTCCATCATTGTTGACAGTTCTGGTATGCAGTGTGTCACAGTAAATCTTGATTTTTTTTTTTTTTGGTAACTTGGAAAAATTCTTTGATCTATAGACTACAGAAGTAAGAAGTGCTGCACCCGTTTCATATCTAGAGAGAGGAATCAGATGGTAGCAGGAGTGCAGCCAACACTAATGTTGCAGCACTGTGTATACCGTGAACTCAGCAGGCATTCTGTGAGGGGTTGTGCTTGTGGGCTGCTCCCTCCTTGTTGGATCGGCTCCTCGCATCCCTCTCCCTTTGTGCCATCAAAAAGGAGATGTAAACAAAATAGGTGTAAGTCAGATTGAGCTGATGAGCTATAGAGCTGTGGTCTCCGTTTTATTCTTAGTCCTTCATAAATATGAGTATTGCTCTATTTGAAGTGTTAACTCGTATAGATAACTGCCTTTAAATTCTTGCCCAGTAATTTTTTAGCCACTTAAAAATAGAAAAATTTCACAGTGATTTGGGGTCTTTAGCAGCATCTGCCGGGATGATTTGTTTTATCAGGGTTCCTTCTGTTGACTACCTCTTAGATTTTGATGCTTTGTGCATTTAAACTGTTGGTTTGCATTTTTGTATGTTCTTATGGTGTCTGCTTGCCCGTGTCTTTTTAGTGAAATAAGACTTTGAAAATACTTTAGCATGCTATTTAAAATTTTCTAAAAATTGTGACATTTGGGTATATTTTTGTTATTGAAGATATATTGATGTGTTTGTAATTGCTTATAATTGAGATTTTACAAATTCCCTTTTAATGGAACTCATTGTAAAAGATCAACTTCAATAAATTACTGTTTCCAGTGCAATTGCTCATAAATTTCTAAATAATGTAGCATAAATAAGGACATAAGGATAGGTTCTTTTTTCTCAATAAAGAAAAGGCAAATTTTCTGATTTTTCTAGTTTTAAGTAGACTTTCAAATGTTTAATACGTGTTTATACAAAACTATGTAAAGTTCTGTATAGTTGAGACTAATCACAAAAATTCAGACAGGCAGTAATCGGGGTGAGATTCTTTCCGTGTGTGGATGCTGCAGTGATTCTGGTGCCCTGCCAGCTATAAAGCATACGTGTTTCATCTGGTACCATCATTTCTACAGTGTGTTCAAGAAAGGATTAAATGACAATAAACATGGAATTGACAAAAATTTTATGTTCCGGTGATTATAAAGTTATAAACAATCTTGAGTTTCAAGCAGTTGCCCTTGAATTGATGCTCCTTTCTCTTTTTTGATATAATTATGACAAATTGTTTATCTTGGGATTAATTTAATGTACTGATAAATATTAGAAGTTGATTCTATTTTTTTTTCATGATTAAGACTAATGGTTTAGTGTAAATTAAAAATGTCTTGCCTGGCACCCTTTAGCTGAGTATCCCTTAGTAAGATCTGGTTAGTCATTGATGACTAGATGTTAAACACTTCACAAACACTCCTACTTCTGTGTAATGGTACATCTGGTCTTTTGGGCGTGATGGTGGTTTAGGTCAGAGGAGTATTATTTTATGTAGAAATGAATGTATATGGCTTGTTATACATACGGACTTACTGTGATCCTGTTTGTTGCACAGAAATAGTTTGGACATTTATAAAGCACAAATCATCAGAGGAAATAGTGTGTAGTTATTAAACTTGAGGAAGTTTCAGTGCAATGTTTAGTTTATAAAAAGGTCCTTTCTATTTTCTATGGCAAATACTGTCACACTTGAAAAATAGGAGCAATACTTGATTTATTTTTGTAAGTATTTAGAATATTATTTTAAATAAATAATTGTCAATATAATTGTGAAATGTTTTAAGTAAATAAACTTCTGCTTCTGCATCAGTTGGTTGTGGTGCTTTTGGTGGCTACAAATGCATATTTATTTCCTGTTTTAATAAAGGGCTAAACCTACTTAGATTGGTAAGCAAAGCTGCATGAATTCAAGTTCATTTTTTTAATGTGTGAACAGGTGTATAAAAGTGATTTTTGTGTGTTCTCTGTCTCCAGTTTTACCACCAAAATATAGATACCTTTTGTTAAGCTGGACTCCAGACCATTTCTAGGCATATATAACATAGTTTAGGTTTATTGAGTACTAATCCCAAAACTCATTCTTAGATTTTCCCTTTATTAATAGTTTCCTTACTATAATTCAGTAGTAATTATATTACCTTGGGGATTGGTCCCTCTGTGGCTAGGTAACAGGACCCTGTAAGTGCTGGCTAATTGGATGTGAATAATTCTTGCAGACAGAGAATAAAGGCATGTGTAGTCGGATACTATGCATGTTTCCCGGCTGCCCAGACCCAAATAATCACACAGAAACTATATTACAACACTGTTTGGCTAATAGCTTAGGCATATTCCTAACTAACTCTTACATTTTAAATTAACCCATTTCTATTAATCTGTGTATTATTATGAAGCTATGGCCTACTGGTAAGGTTCTGACACCCTTCTCCTTCAGCAGCTATATGGTGTCTTTCTGACTTTGCCTTCTCTCTCTCTCTCCTGATTTCCCACTTGGCTTTACTCTGCTAAGCATTGGCCCAAACAGCTTTATTCATCAACCAATAAAAGCAACTCATATGCAGATGGACATCCCACATCATCTCCCATTTTCTGTCTAATTAAAAAGGAAGGTTTCAACTTTAATATAGTAAAATCACATATACAAAACAGTTATCAAGCCAGAATTAGTTATAATATTTAGTTCTTTTATGTTTGGCAAATTAAGGAAAATATTTTTATCATCTATCCTATCTTTGTGAGTCTAAAGTTTTATACTTTATTTTTTATCATAACTAAGGAAAACTATAATTATTTGTCTTTAACTCTTTAAAGATCCCAGAAGCATATAATATTACCTAAGTAGACAGGAAGTACATTATAAGCAACTTCCAAAGTTTTAGAATTGACAGAGACATCATGTTGCCTGGAAAGTAACACCAAAGTTATTCTGTAACATTGGGGCTATCTTCATTCTACAAGCCCATAGTATCCAGCGGACTTTTTTATGAAGCAGGAAATTTGAAGATCTGTTTTGCCTTGTGATGGCAAAGTTTATTAGCTGCTTTTTTGTGTGCCCTGAAGAATGTCTGGCAGGTTTTTTTGTGTGTGAAGCAGGAACCCTGAAGGACCATCCCATGTTTTGGAAAGTTTAGAAGACAATTTTGTGGGACCTGCATGTCCAGTTTATACAGCATACCATCAACCAGTCTGAGCAAGAGCAGTTTTTTACCCAAATTGCTAGCCTTGTCACATTGAAGGCAAATTTCATAATGATCCTTCTTTAATGCCCATCAACCTCTCTGAAATAATAGGTGTTACCAAAAACAGACATGGCTCACTGTTAAGTCTAAATTCTTCAAACATTTTAAGTGCCATAGTTTGTAAGTCTTTGAAGTGTTGAAGATTATCTAGATGAAATACATATCTAAAAAATCTAACATGACTACAAGTTTGACTATTATAAAAGACTTTTAACCCATATTTTTAACTATGCATTATATTTTTAAATGAGCTGCACAAACACAATACCTTAAACAAGAGCATAAATACATATAACAAAATTGACCTTAAATTTGTATCAGTAGTCCAGGATCCATACCAATGCAACATATTCATCTCTATATCATATACCCCCTTTTTTAAAAATTGACTATGACCATTAATGATTTATACCCAACCCCTTTTAAATGAAAGCAAACATTTATAAGCAATCATTTTAGGAACTTGGGCCTAGTTTCCTCAAAACTACTTCCTGCTGTTTGTTGGGTAAAGCATTTCTAGGGTTTATAAAGACCTCTTGGGGGGTTCTTGTTACATCAAACCACATTAGCCTAGAAGGAATCCATAGGTTCTCATCTTCTGTGGAATGAAAAGCAAAACCTATTTTCCAAAGTAACATAGCCTTAGACTCAAATTTTGAAGTCAAAATAAATTTGGTTTAGCTTAGCTGCCCCAGAATCAAATGTTTCTCTGCTGTCAAAAAGTTTAAAGAAAAAAACAATAATATACATAATCCAGACCGTCAGAGACTTTGCATTTATTTCCCAGCTGCCCAGACCCAATAATCACACAGAAACACAGAAACTATATTAATTGTGCTACTGTTTGGCAAATAGCTTAAGTACATTCTTAGCTAGCTCTTATATCTTAAATTAATTCATTTCTATTAATCTGTGTATCATGAGACTGTGGCCTTATTGGTAAGGTTTCAGCATCCTCCTTTGGCAGCTACATGGTGTCTTTCTGACTCCACCTATTCTCTATATCTCTGTTCTGAATCCCTGTCTGACTTGATTCTACTAAGCCATTGGCCTAAAAAGCTTCATTCATCAACCAATAAAGGCAACACATATGCAGAAAGACATCCCACATCAGGCATGCTCTCCCTAGCCCTGTGCCTCTCAGTCTCATGTGCCCCTTTGGTACAGCTAAAAGTTTAAAAGGAACTTGAGTCCCAGAAATCACATCTGAACCCAGCAACTGTGAGCCGCTAACACAGGAGTCTCTTGTGTAAAGTTATTTCATATTTTATGCTGTGTTCCTCACCCTAGCTAGCCACACCTAACCTGTGTTGGTCATCTCGAGTTGTAAATGGAGTTATAGAAAAACACAGGTGTCCCATGTTCTCTAAACTTGCCATGGAAAAGTTTAACACTGCTGTTGTTGCTGAATGATCAATAACTGTAACGATTACATGACTATTTAAATGTTCTGGATATAAAAGAAAAGGGAGGGATGGGACAAAGTGAAAAACCTGCTCTACTTGAGGTGATACCCAGGAACCCTCACAAACTGACCTCAACTGTAGAATATTGTGGTCTAACTAAAGGAAAATCCTTTTGTTTTCTGATGTCTTGGCAAATATGGTGTCACAAACTACATTGTTTATGTGTAGTTTTAAGTATTTAAGTGTAAATTTCAGTCACGTCATTACTTTGTAGATCAAGTTAACTGGTTAGAACTCCTGTAATTATGAGGCTTGGAAAGTTACAGATCCAGATCCGAAATTATTTTATCTGTGCTTAGTTATCTTTGTAGCTTTTATCAAGTGTAAAACTTAACAGGTATTTGCAAACTAGTTAACCAGCCCAAAACCAAGAATGTCCTGAGATCTCAAACACATTTCCCCCACTTTCTGCTACCAGCTCCTAATGCCTCAACAGTATTTTTGGTTATGTATGACTGCGCTGTACTAACACGTACATGCAGTGGTTTTCACAGTAAAATGCTCCTGATTCTTGACTGCAAAGAAACTGTCCCACTGCCTTTTTAGAGAGCTGCTTTCTGTCTCACACAAACCTGTGAAGCTTTGCTCTTTTCTCTCCACCCACTTCTGGCCTGAGGAGCTGATAATTAACATTTTCAAGCTGACTGGTTCCTCCTGCCTGCTGGTAAATACTGCTAAATCCTCCTAGGAAATTTTAAGCCTGTTACTTCCTCTTTGAGATTTTCTACGTTATCTTCTTTGGAAGCAGTCTCCTTGCTGTGATTTTCCATTAAAAAACCATTCTTGCTCTTCTAGCTTTGACTGCTCTTTGTATTTTTTTTAAAAAATGCTCGAATTATAAGACTGTGGTAATTTTCCAGAACCCTGGATATTGTCTGTGCCTATTTTTACTAGTATGTGCAATGCTTTTTGAAGGAATGGACTTTGGGAATTTATACAATAGATTTTTTTTTTTCTAGAAAAGAACTAGCTCTGTCAACTGATTTATTAAAAAAGAAGTCAAGGTAATTCAAAAGGAGAAATGTTAATCTTTCCAGTGACTAATCACAAAATAATTGAATTTTGGCTGTGAAAAGGTAACTTTAGAGTTTTTTTTCTTCACATCAAAGTTAGCATTACATATAAACCTCTCAGAAAAAGAAAAATATTGCCTTGGATTAGACAAACTATTAAGTGACATTTAAAGGACATGTTTAAAGAAAAATGTTCTAAAATTGTTGTCATAAGGATTCGTATGCAAAGAAAAGACAAAAGAACCTCAGACTGGAAGAGATATTGGTATAAACATGTTAAAATGTATGATTTATATATAAAAACCTAAGGTATTAGTCTCTTTAATATTTTTATTTTTTGAAATTATAATTGTTATTTCAACTCCTCCCCCATACTCTCCCACTCCTAAGTTCATGACCTTTTTCTTTGTTACATATATACATACATACACCTAAATATATCAATACTACCTACTTAGTCCAGATGATGTAACATATATGGATGTAAATGATCTCAAGGCTACCACTAGGTATTGGATAACCAACTGGGGAAAAGAACTGTTCTCTGGGGAAGGTCGTCTTTCCTTCACTTCATGTTCCCCAGATGCCTTCAGTTTTTGCCTAAGGTTGAGGCCTCGTGAGATTTCTCCATTCCATGTCCTTTCCACCACCCCTATGATTGTTCAGGTGTTATTTAGGCAGCCTTGTAGATGAGTCTTCATGGGTGTAGCCTCTGACATTTTTAGATTATAGCGACTACAGCAGGGTAGTCTTTTAAAAGAGTTTGCCAAACTCTAGTTTGACTAGAATTTACCCCTCTAGACAATGGGGAGCATATATTGTTCTATGAGTTTTGTAAGGAAACCATCAAATAGCCTGGAAGAAAAATGCCTGTAAGTTTCTCAATGGCACAAACATGTACAATCACAGGGATAAGACTACTATATTTTGACTAAGTGCTGTGGGTTTTTTTGTCTTTGTCTTTGTTGTTGTTTTATTTCATTTTAACATCTCTCTTTGGTCCTTACGGCCTTGGCAAAGCAGGTGGGAAGTTATGCAGGCCTGAAATCCCTATGCCTAACAACAAAACATTTAGGGCATTGTATGCCCAT